CTTATTGCTAGTCAGTTGTGAAATCTCAATATTATCGAATAGAATGATATAGAATATATCTTCGTATGTCATTCCAATTATCAAGTTTTTGACAAATTTAATATTTTCAAGCTTTTATATCGTCACACACAAGGTTAACCTTTTTAGAACGTTATATATTTTTTTTATTTATCGCTAGATAGGTATATTATAGTCTTCAAAATTTTAAAATGTACATATGAGCATATTTTTTTTTGAGAATAGAACCTTCTACTTTATAATCACACGTAATTGTATTTAGGTAGTCAGTTTTTGCACCATCATTCCTCGCTTCGCTGATGGTGGTTAATCGACGGTCGACCTTGGCTCTCCTAACCCAGCCTCTAAGCCGTTATTTACTACGAACGTGATTGTATCGAAAATGTTTTTATATGTAGACGATGCAACAAACTTATAATGACAATATTATAGATAGATAGATAACACTTTATTGTAAACACCAAATACAAAACATACAAAGAAAAAAGAACAATATTAAGCTATGTGTCACAATCAGCGGTCTTATTTATCACTAAACAGCGATCTTTCCAGATTATCTTTAATCTATACTCATATTGTATGGTTTGTTTGCATTCAATAGGCTCCGAAACTCATAGACGTATATAAATAATTCTCTTTTTTTTTTCATAAAATTTCTTTTCATACGCCGGCGACACATAGGTTCAATTGCGTGGGTGAAGTCGCGTGAAAACAACTAGCGTTAAAAAGTTAAACTTAACTAACATGTTAAACTTAAATACATTAAACTTTAATGTCGAAATAAGAAAATGATAAAGGTACCTAAATATATTGTAAAGGTCACTTTTTATAAAAAAGTTTTTTTCGACCACCAAAAAAATTGAAACTGATTCCGCATTCGTTGGTATTAAATAAGTGAGTCATACTTAATCGTGATATAATATCCTAACGTAGGTGGCGATCCATCGATATTCATAAATTGATATCAGTTACAACGTATGCCAATAAAAATGAATCTAAATGTGTTGCTAAGTGCGAAACTCAAAAGAGGCCACAATCACTTGTTTAGTTTGTTTTTACATATTCCAAAGATAGTCCAGGCTCAATACTTATTCGGTGAGTTTTAAGAAAGATTTTGGTGGAGCGAAACAATCTTATGGAGAGATTTACGAGAAATTTATCATTTCAAATTGTGAACTTGAAATGTAACTTTGTATTCTGTCCAAAAATAATATATAAATACACGTTTCGGCGATTTCAGTGCCATTGCATATATTTATGAAGTAAGTGTCTTATTGCGGTGTACATGCCCTCTTGATGTTTATTGGATTGCATTGTAGGTTCTACCAGATTAATTGCAATCACTTTGACGTTCCTCAATAAACAAAACTGGCCTGACTCGCGCACAAAAGGTTTCGTGCCATATCTATAAGAAAACGCAATGAAAACACGTCTTTTGACTTGTGTCGGAGCCCCTTTAAAAGTATATTTTATTCTGTTTTTTTTAGTATTTGTTGTTTATAGCGGCACCAGAATTACATCAAATGCCTAACTATCTATCACGGTTCATGAGATAGTGCCTGATAATAACAGACGGACGGACAGCGGAGTGTTAATAAATAGTAACCCATTTTTACCCTTTGGGTACACGGAACTAAGTAAAAATAGGCTGGAAAAATTTTTGTTAGGAAAAATTAAATTGAACAGAACATTCGGCTGGTCATTGTTATTGAATTTGAAAAGTAACAGTGATCGAAACGAGCGTAGAAGGTTTTTCCATGACCTCAGTCGATTGATTAGATTTAAACGAACTAACACCTTCCGCACGGCTATTGTGGAACGAACACTAGTTTGAATTGAGTCATTTTAAGTGAACGTTAGTGTTTAGAGTTTCTAGTGTTATTTGAATCATTTAAAATGACACTACAAATAATTTTTTTGTTGCTAAGTTCTCCGCTCTTATGTATCTGTCTGCACATAATCTGTTATGCAAACATAAATCAATTACGTTATGTTATTTACTCAAACCTCACCTAAGCTAAGCTTAAGATAACATGTTGGTTTATAAATAAGATAAAAAAGAAACCCAGTAAACAGACATAAAGAGTAGACTCTTTTGTTAGTTAGCAATGATTATATAACGAACGGACAATTTTCCGTGTATTTTTCCATATTTTCTTTCACTATCACAAAAAACGTAAATCCCTTATTTTATCCAAAAAAGTAGAACCGACCTCAAAAAAGTAATAAAAAATTAGAATAATGTATTACTTTTTAAAGTTTTTAGTGATATTGATATTTTTATATAATAAGTAACACTAAAAATATATTAAATAAAAATATTAAACTAAGTGAAAGCCAAAGAAATGGAGATTTTTTTTATCTTTAATCTATACTCAACTCATATTGATTGTTTGTTTGCATTGGACAGGCTCCGTAACTATTGGCCCAATTTATAAAAGTCTTATCAATGGGAAGTGTCTAATACGCGGGGGACATAGGCTTTAATTTACTCAGGCTAAGTCGCGGGGAAACGGCTAGTTTGATAGAAATTGGGTTACCATTATAAAAAAAATATACATACTCGTTGAACATAGAAAATTCTCCTTTCGAATTTTAAATGTATTCGAAATACGTAATCTTTTGTTTTTTAGCTAAAACCCTAATACTAATATTAAAAATGCGAAAGTAGTGAGGATGAGTGTATGTTTGTCACTCTTTTATGAAAAAACTACTGGACGGATCTGGATGAAATTTGGTTTACGGATAATTCTAAGCCTGTATTAACATATAGGCTATTTATCCCACAAAACACTTGCCTAGGGACCACGCAGGGGAAACACTAGCGGAAAGCTAGTTTATAAATAATCATCTAAATACCTATTTAGGTGATTCATTTTTAAGTTATGCAATGGCTCAGAATCATAACTTTTTACTCTGAACATGAAACAATTTTCAGTATCAGTTAATAATTAGTAGTAAAATTATTTCAACAACAAATGTATTAGTCTGCATTAGAATACCTAACTACTGATAAATATTAAATCAAATATTAATTATATTAAATGACGGCATATTATTTGTGCTTATCAAGAAGCTGATAACTGCTTCTAAATATAGAAAGTATTATGTTGTTATACCTACGATAGGACTTCGTGGGGTGGATGATAAATATAGTATTAAACAATTTTTACTACAATAGCAAACTGAATTGACGAAAAAAAAAAAAAAAAAATTCAGTCCTGGCACTTAATAATAAGAATATTAAATTTATGTAAACTAAACCTATATGCAAAATTTTAGCTTGATCAGTTGAGGATAACTTAGTGGCCTCTATGCATATATGTATATAACAGAGATCAGTTGGATAACTGCTTTAAAATTCAGTTGCAAGATTTGTCGAAGATCTCATAAAATATTGTAACAAAAACTGTTTTTATATACCTACATTGAACCGATGGAGAATCAACAGGCCAATTCTGATACTACTTTGCCATTTTATTGTCTACCCAAAGTCCAATATTATTATATATCTGTACATAAGTTATTGTTAAAATTGTACATTGATGCTACGGAAGTTATTGAAAATATCTCCATTCGCTAAATGATAAAAATAGCAGCAAAGATACGGTATTTTGTTGTCTTATAGAAATCGAATTGTTTATAATTCAAAATTCACAGACTATCAAGAAATCAATTTTTTTTCTTTTCAAAATAAATAATTTTATTTTCTAAGCCATTGTTGGTAGTTTTCCAGTAAGTAACAGATGTTATGGACAAGTTTCAAAATCCCTAATTGAAATAAAAGAAAGAAATCATACACTGCAATACAAAAATATGGTACATGATATTAAAATCTGACTTCATGAAGCGTAGAGACTGGGGGGTGGGGTATAAGTGCGCCGTACAAAGTTTTTGCCCTAGTTAATAAAAATCGTAGATCTAAGACGGCGGTATCAGTGTAGAGACACCATAAAAATCTTCAGCGTAAAGATCAGAATTGTTCATGATGGTGTTCGTTAAGGGAGAAACTTTTAGTAGGTCATCGATAACTATACTCGAATATCAACATGTAGATATAATATTATAAAACAATAACATTGATTCTTATATATCTTATATACCGTTTATTTAATAAAACTTTGTTTGTGTGACGACATGCGAAATTTAGATATTACATACCGATTGTACCATACATCAGTGCCTATTTACCCGACTTTACGCGACGCAACGGAGGGTAATGTGTTTACCAGTCTATGTATGTTTCTTTCTATGTGGCGTTCTAGAGACTAAATACGTAGGCCGATTTTGATGATTCTTTTGTCAATCGATTCGTCTTGACCTTGCGAGTGTCACGTAAGATCAGCGACAACCAGACGCCATAATAAATGTCATAATGAAAAAAAAATCGATGAACTATGTCAAGTGGGGTGTCGTTGAATAGGTATTTTAATGTTATCTTTAGGTTCCTTTTATCATTTTATGATTTAACAGTGAAAAAGCATGAAGAACAAATATTTTTGGTAAAAAAAGGTTAAAAAGGAGTTAGGTCTCTAGAGTGACTAATCATCAGTAGTTTAGACCACCGCAAGTTACTTAATAATCCCCACGATATTAACTCCCTCAATTAAATAACTTGATTGCGAAATTAACCATCTTATAACGAAGTCAACGAATCGTAACTAAAAAGTATTAAATAAAAATAAATAATTTAAAGAAAAACAAAAAACCTGACTGCGAAAAACGAATTTAAAAAAAATACATGAATGAAATTAACTTAAATAAAAACTAAAAAGAAAGAAACAAACCCAGTAGTTTAGAAAATAATCGATACACACATGAAACAAATCATAACTTCTAATGCAGAACAGAACCACTCACAGACGGGGCCCTTTCAAATCTTTCCCATAAAAAAATCATAAATTCTAATACAGAACAGAAAGACTCATAGTCGGGGCCCCTTGGGATGATAGATATACATTTAAACTTTACCGTGTCGCTTACAAATTTTTAATTATAAAATTATGCATTTGAGGGTTAAGAATTTAAACTAAGTAGGTAGTACATCAGTCTTTGGATACATAGTGTCCATAGTAAGGATTAAAATATAGCAATATGTATCAATTACAGCACAATGCCCGTGGACCTGTACTACGTACCCGGCTCAGCACCCTGCCGAACAGTGCTGCTGGCGGCCAAGGCTCTGAATGTCGACCTTAACCTGAAACTCGTCGACCTGCATCACGGAGAACATTTGAAGCCAGAGTACCTGAAGGTGAGAATATCTAGTTCAGCACGCGTGGTAGGACAAACTCGAGAAATATTTTATCTCACATCATTTTTTTAAACGGACGGGAGTGAGATATCTTATGGACGCACTCGAGAAAAGTGACATTTGTGTGTACAGAAATGTGCAGGTTTGCTTGTGTATGTGTGTGTGTGTGTGTATAAATAAAAAACAGCTTTATAAGTAGCATCGAGCACTTTTAGAAGTCGGCCTCGTTATTGAACCTCTTCTTCGTCTTCTTTTATTAATGGTTTATCTGCGCATTTCGCACAATTCTGCCAATGTCAAGTGAATAAATTAATTTCTCATGTTAAATAAAAATGAAATGAATGAAAGATGGTATTGAACCTCTAAGCTGTGAAAAGGTTGAAAGTTGACGTTGCGTTTGACAATGATTTTTTTTACAGAATATATCATCAGAAATATTATTACAAAGCTTTAAAATACCTATTCGGAAAAATATAAATGTCCCGCCTATAGATCCGCAGAAATGGCTTTAATATACTGATTAACAGTTCCATCATTCCTAGTTGAAAATTATATGATAAATCTATAACTAAAAATAAAATAAATTAATGTTAAGTTGAAGCAATATTCGCCTTACCTTTAATCGCAAATTTTTTGACTACGACTTGTTCCATTGCTTCTGCCATTTGCTTGGAAGTAGGTAGGCACTGTAAAGTGCAGCCCGGGCATGTAACGTCCGTGCACATTACTATAGGTAGGTTTACTCTCCGGACGATTTATGGTCAATGCTGGCCGGTAACATATTGAATTATTACTTTTTCCGCGTTCGAATTCGCGTGTTCTTGTTTTGCTGGTTGATAATCTTTCTTTCTGATCCAGACCGGCATAGAGTCAGTATCTTAGAATTTAGTTGTAAGCGATTTAATTTAAATTATTCGCAAATAAAATCGAGAGTTCGATGAATTGCCCAAGGATATCATTGAACAAGCCACCATTAGAGTAAATAATGAATACAAGATATGTAAGAAATAATGCACAAACTCCACGGGAATAATAAAGTGGAAATTTCCTGTTTGTTATTATATACAGTTTTATATTTACCTTTTTGTGGTTGATAAAGACTTAATTATGTTTATAATAAATAGTTATACCTATTAGGCGCATTTATCCGCATTTTAATAACGTGTACCTTCCTACGTAAAAGCTCTTCTTCAAATGTACAACTAGGTGCTTAGGTATCTATAAAACTTTTAGTTCAAACATCGATTGACCCGAATCCATTAAATCAATGTTACTAATGAATATTTTCATAACATTAACATTATTGATATTTCCTATGAATAGGAAAGGAGTACCTACACGTTATTTTCCGGTTATAGTTACAAGGAGTTATAAGGAAGGTTATAAGGATAATTTTTAAGGTATCATGATGTTAATTGTAGAGTCGGTGCTAATTTTTTTTATTAAAATATTCTTCATTGCCAATTTTTACAGCAAATGGCGGAGTTAATGGCAAAAAAACTCTACCAGTTAACCGGTTAAGATTTACAGAACATTATATTGCAGAATTATTCGGCTAATAATATAGTAGCTGCACATAATGACATATACGACTTATTTTTAAAGAAAACCAACTACTAAATTGTGCTCGCAGGCCTAATTTGTATCTGATTTGTCTGGCGGTTTAAAATAGTCATCACTTTAAACGCCCCAAACACCATACGGCCATACAAATACAAACTCTATTTTCCCGTTGTTTAGGTAGAAAATAACAATATTAATAACCAAGGACAAATTGTTGATGATGTAATGGTGCAGTCGGCATTCTGAGTGCGTTGAACTCTTATGGGAACGGCATGTTGAACATAATTTTATTCTATGGCTGTATACATTTGTTACATAATCATGTAATTTTAAAAAGTAATTATACATAGACTTTTTAACCGATGCATGATTGTCTGTTAATGTAATGAAATGCACATATAATGTCACAGTACAATGAGTAGGTATGATAAATAGAGCCATTCAAAAATTCTGATTTCAAATTCAAATTCATTTATTTCAATCCATATAAAATCATTTACATTACAGATCATTAAAACATTCAATTAAAAATATAAATGAAATCAAATTCCACAATTTTTAAATTACTTATATTGAAATTAAAATAAAATTAGTAAAACAAGATAAGAAAGTATTAAAAAAAATATAAATAAAATTATTATTATTTTTTTTCCTAAGAAAAATTAAATTAATAAAATAAAATAAAACATTATTAATATAAAAATAGTTTGTTTTTCTCTAATACTAAGTTACCTCGTACCTATCCATGATAGCAAAGAGATTATAGTTTAATGCTTGGTTAAATGTTTCTACGATAAGGTGTGAAATTAATGCATTAATACGAAAATGCTATCACGCAATGTAATTTTATGATATCACGAGTAGATTTGGTTTTTAACCGATTTCATAATCCAAAAGTAGGAGGTTATATGTTCCATATTTTCCTTTTATAGCAAAACAAAATACGTTTTTCACCATATCTTTACTAATATTATAAAGCTGAAGGGTTTGTTTGTTTGAACGCGCTAATCTCAGGAAATACTGGTTCGAATTGAAAAATTATTTTTGTGTTGAATAGACCATTTATCGAGGAAGGCTTTAGACTATATAACATCACGCTGCAACTATTAAAAGCGAAGAAATAATGGAAAACGCGGACAAAGTCGCTGGCGGTCAATAGTATATGACATGTATTTCAGCTAAAAAAAAACAAAATATTGCGTATTTGAGTCATTCAGAATCCGAAAGGAGCATTTTTGTATTCACAGTGCTACACTTTCATTTCATTAAGAAGATTTTCTATGTTCAAGGAGAATGCATATTTTTTATGAAAGTAGCTATATCAATAGATTGCTTTTTAAATTGTGAACCAATTTCTATCAAACTAGCTGTTTCTCAATGACTTCGCCTGCGTAAATTATAAATTATGTCCAACGCGTAGATGAAAGTCTTATAAATCGGGACAACGGTTTGGAGCCCATACAATGCAAATAAACAAGCAATCAAATCTTTCTTTATGAGTATAGAATTATTGGAAAAAAATGTCGGGCAAATAGACAAAATCTTCTTTTTTAAGACTCACTATGTTGAATATTTTTAATAATATGTTACCTATTATATAAAAAAATATCACTAAAACAAGAATTTTATTTTTTTTAATTAAACCGACTTCAAACTTTATAAAAGTGAAAATTCACAGAAATTCGACGTCAAGCAACGCTTGCGTTGTGTTTCGTCGTGTGAGTGAGGGTACCGGAGGCCCAACCCCTCCCTATTCCCTTCCCTCTACCCCTCAATCCTTCCCTCCCTATGATCATATTCGTCCCTCAAAGGTCGGCAGCGCGCTTGTAGCCCCTCTGGTGTTGCAGGTGTCCATGGGCGACGGTAATCACTTACCATCAGGTGATCCGTCTGCTCGTCTGCCCCCTATCCCATAAAAAAAAGAAAAAAAAATACTTATCTCAAAAGCGATTTATTCAAAAAAATGGTGAATCCTATTGAAGTGGGACTCCTTTTATTTAATTTATAAACCTACAGAAGACATCTGCAAAAGTTTTTTCTTTTTAATTATTTTTAGTGTCTTTATATACTTTGTTCATTTATTTTCAATAATGATAAATGCTTTAAGAATCCTCCAACTCCGGGTACTAGATTGCTATTAGATATATTGAAAACTAAACTATTAATAGTTGCTGCGACGAGAAAATTTCTAGACTCGGACCATCGAAATGTTTCTGTTTTTCTAATACGCAAAGCTATGCAATCTATTTCCTCGAAATTGAAAGGTATTAAAATATATAAATGACGAAAATGACCTCCGGTCAATCGCCGATGCCGAATTCCCCTGAACCAGTTTGCGATGCCGGTGCCGGTTCTTACACAATTTAATAGCCTTTGCGGGTCCGGTTTAGTACTTATTAAGGGGCTGAATAGGATAATATTGAGTTTTTTCTTTTCAATTCGTTATAACTTGCGGGAAACCAATGACTCATATTAGCTTTAAATACATCGAGGTTAAACTATCAACTCTAACTTATATAAGAAAATCAAAATGATACTGACTAAAAAATAAATGATAGCTACTATTATAAAGTGGAAAGATTTTTATATAATTTATTTCCACACCGCTATATAATGAGTGAAAATTATAATTTGCTGCACATAATGTGCAGTATCCTATCATAAGTAGCTTCCTATGATTAGGTAATTATGTACCGATTTGTTTCTTATGAATCAGAAATTATGCTGAAGCATAAACGTAATTATTTTATGTAACTTGACCTAGAAGAATGTATACCTTTGTATTTGCACTTATTAAAGTTACACATTTCATTACTTATATCTGACTTATAGATGTTATAGTAAGATAAATACTTAAGTATCTACACAACTTCGGACACATGAAGCTTGCTTTTAAGGTTCCGTCTGTACCTCAAAAGGAAAAAAACTTATAATATAAGTACTCAGGCATCTCAGGTCAACAGTCCATTAAAGCTGTGGAAAAAATAATTAAAAAACTGTTACGACCTTCTTATTATTTCCAAGGGCATTGAAATTAATAAGGTAAATTCCATTTGGCCTAGAACTATGAAAGACAAGTACCAATGTTTTATGGTATAATTGCAAGGAATAATATAAATCAAACATTTATAATTCAATTATTTAAGTCCTCTAACTTCGAAATTTAAAATTGAAGCTACTAGACTTGTCCTGGAGTCCTCTAAATGGCTGCAAGTTCTTTTGATGAAATCATAAATTAGGGTTGTACTGCCTTGTCTTTCGTATGTCCAGTGTCGTAGTTTCAGCAGACGTCTTAGCAGGGGGGTAAACGAGTTATCAAGTTTCTTGCCCCTGTTGGGAAAAAGTTGTAAGTCCGAGCCCGATGCCTCGAGCCTCCGACGTGGTTAGTCCGCCACTGGGTATCATATCAAAGGGTTTAATGTGCATATTTTATTCCTCTGTGAGCGAGACCGACTCACAATTTTCCGATTTCATTTTAATTTATATCGTGAGAAATTATTACAAATGAGTACCCGACTATGACGTTGTAGGCCAAGGTTTAGGATAGATCAATAATCTCTACAAAATTACTTTTTTTACATAGCGCTATTTTTGTACTAATCTCCTATATTACTTATTAATATTCATACTATAACGATTTTACCCGTTATCAGCCATCAAGATGTGAAAACATAATATTCGCTTTGATAATTTAAAGGAAAAAAGCGAAGACTTCATAACTCATAAGTAATCGATAACGAGGTCACTATAATTTAGTTTCATTCATTAACAAACTTATATTCAAAATGACAGCTTATCTATACTAATATTATAAAGCTGAAGAGTATGTTTGTTTGTTTGAACGCACTAATCTCAGGAACTACTGGTTCGAATTGAAAAATTCCTTTTGTGTTGAATAGGCCATTTATCGAGGAAGGCTTTAGGCTATATAACATCACGCTGCAACTATTAGGAGCGAAGAAATAATGGAAAATGTGGAAAAAAACGGGGAAAATTATTCATCCTTGAACGCTTCCGTTGCGTGCGCTGCGAAAACGGTTCAAGATACCAAAAATATATGTATGAAAAGCTATGCTATGATAACAGCAATCATTGTTTACTATTCAATTTGTTATTATATCTGTGTCATGCTATGAATCGATATCCAAATAAACAGTTCCCTAGGGGGTTCACGCGGGCGAAGCCGCTGGCGGAAAGCTAGTTTTATATATACCAGCAGATTTTACTTATATTACTTTATAGACAAGGACTCAATTCTGTTAATTCCCATAATAACAATTTTCAAAAAAAATATTAGCAATATTGCCTGGTACTCTTTTTAAGCAAACTCTTTTTTAGGTTTAGTTAAAATGTCTAAATAGGTTTCGTTTCTCATATTAATGTACAGTCAACAACACGTCAGTTTATATAAAATTTTAAACTTAGGAGAAAGACTCTTTGTGGGTAATGTTATGAATCGGTATCCAATAGTGATGAGTGAATGAAAGTGAACGAAACCGTCAAAAAAAAAAAACTTAAACGAAGCCCTCTGATCAATCAAATGGACTTTGTATAATATTAGTTGATTTGATAAATATTTTCGAACTTCACTGTCTTATAGGGCGAAAACTTTTTAATATGTATTTTATACAAAAATGTTTATAGCCTTTAGACAAGCTATCCCTTTTCAGATAATTTATGGTACAAATCTGTTATAAAATTGAAGTTATGATTTTCTCGGATGAGTTTTTTTTTGGAGAGCTAAGGAAACTTGAAGTAATCCGTGATGCGAATATAAACAATCTCTTTCACTTTCCAGCTCAATCCCCAACACACGGTGCCGACTTTAGTGGACGATGGTTTCTCCATCTGGGAGTCCCGAGCGATCATCACCTACTTGGCCAACAAATATGGGAAGGGCAGCTCGCTCTACCCCGAGGAGCCGAAAGCGCGCGCCATGGTAGACCAGCGCCTATACTTCGACATTGGAACTCTCTACCAGAGGTTTTCTGATTATTTCGTAAGTACCTGTCTATGTACATACCTCCTACAACTTACCCGCAAATGACATGTGCATAAGCGGCAGCAAATTTCATAGCCACTGCCAACTTTCTTCTAAAATTTGTGTCGCTTCTCTATGGAACATCCTCAAGGTTATCTTAGTTATACATTTTTTCAATTACCTTTTATAAAGTAAAGTATCCATCTCTTATGTGTCAGGCTGATAGCGTCACTCTCTTCGATTTTTAAATGAATACTTTTTCCGTCAAGTACCTTATTTATCAGTTACGAAATAGGGACAAATAGCCAAAATTTCTTGACGTCTATACTTTTTGCTGTACAACTGGCTGAGCATTAAATATTTATTCCAGTACCCACAAGTATTCGGCGGTGCACCAGCGGATAAGGAGAAGTTGGCCAAAGTGGAAGATGCCTTGAAGTTACTGGACCTGTTCCTGGAGGGACAGAAGTTCGCAGCAGGCCCATCCCTCACACTCGCTGACCTCAGTCTAGTCGCCTCCGTCTCCAGCATGGAAGCATCAGATATCAACTTCACCAAATACAACAATATTAAGAGGTAGGTATTTGATAGTAACTTTGTAGATCATAGTAGGTATATCATTTACAAAAGTATAAAAAGCGTGAGATGGTTTTGAGGAGTAAGGGGGCGTCCATAAATTACGTGAGATGTTTAAGGGGGGGAAGGGGTCGAGGCAAATCTCATCTAATCTTACGTTGGAGAGAGGGGGGGTCTCGACAAATATCACGCAATTTTTTTCTGATTGAAACAAAAAAATATATACTATTTTGGTCCATTTAATCCAGATTGTACATGCTTAAGATTTAATCTTAATCGTAATCGTATACGATTAAGATCATTCACTAATTCGTTCAAAAGAAAATAATTTCATTCATACTTCGACGCATATACATCTACTGAATGTCAAACCACCATATTTGTAGGGTTCGAACGATACTTTCGATACCGAGAAGGTATCGATACTTTCAAAAGCGATACTCGATACTGAGTACTCGATACTACAACAAGGTAAATACTCGCAAGTACTCATCAATTTTGAAAAATCTCACGTGAGATCGGTGGATGGGGGAATAAAATCTCACGACATCTCACCAGGAGGGGAGGGAGGGACAGAAAATTTAAAAAACACCTCACGTAACTTATGGACGCCCCCTAAGCATATATAAGTTGTTTACGATTACTTATCATTATTGCTCGGTAAAATTTCTCAATTAGGTCTTAGTTTCTAAACACGAGAGCTTCTCGGTTTTATTCAATTTCAATCCCAATATAGTTGCATTGCAATCAGACCCTGAGCTAGCGTAGGGTTGACCTTCATTTCTGCAACTATGATGGGATCAAAAATAGGGTTTATTTTTTCCTTTTATTCAGCCAAGATTTTCTTTTCTTCTTATAGTAGGCAGGCACTGGTATGTATAACAGATGTTTTTGATATAATTGTCTAAAATAATTTTGTTTGAATGTACTGAAACAGAGACTTGGCGACATGGGTAGACATTTTGAGAAATAGGTTTATATTCAGTGGCGTAGCTACCAAGGGGCTAGGCGGGGCAGTGCCCCGGGGCCCTCAAGCTCAGCGGGCCCTCAAATCTTTATCAGAAAATCTCAATCGAACTCAACTTTTGAAAATTTCTCCCATTTTCAATATAAATATGACAGGTGACAACTCGAGTTTAATCATGACAACTCAGTTGTAAGCAAATCCAAAATTATAAAAAGGGAATTCCCCTAAATTTATTGTGTGGGTTGACAGTGTTATTAACGTTTTCACCAATTTGTCGGATATCAATATCTGTATATTATTATTTATCTATACGCGTTTTTGTGATTCGCGATTGTGAACTTTGAGTCAAGATTTTTTTTCGAGCAGTGGGCCCCATTTTTTTTATTTGTCCCAGGGCCCTAGGTTAACTAGCTACGCCACTGTTTATATTTTCAGAAATATGGATACTTTGGGGCAACAGACCGTTCAAACCTTTCTGGACAAAACATTCTAACATGTAACTAAATGATTTCATCATGATGCTTCTGATGTGAATAAGATAATAATAATAAACTTAATTTTCTTGTTTCTAACAGATGGTATGAGACAGTGCAAAGAACAGCGCCCAGCTACGAAGAGGCCAACGGCAAGGGACTCCAGGCCTTCAAGGAATTAGTGAAAAACATGATGAAGAAGTAACATAACACTTGGAAACCTTCACCATATGTATCACTGATTATTTAAACTTCAATTCCTTCATAGATAGGAACTGCCACAAAACATTCAAAGTTCATTCCATTTTGATTGTCACGTTTTCGGAATGTAAGACTTTTTAATCGTTTGTACTGTTGTAAAGTTTATTTAGGATATAAGGCACAAATAAATTATGTTTGAAAATATTTAACGTTTTATTATTTCCCTTTCTATTTTTTCTTGCCACATGGCCACTCTCTAAAGCCAATTTCCTTAATATTTAAACTTATTACCTAAATAATTTGTCTTCAAAAACTTACTGAAAGATAATTTTATAAAAGTATAGATTTAGATATATATTAAGGTAGAAATGAATAAAGTTTATATTAAGAAAATTAAGATTTAATTAAAAACACAGTTACAATTCAGTCTTAGCTTTATGGTTATCAATTAGTTCTTTAAACAAGCGAATGCCTTCTCCGTTCGCTGTCTGGTAACCAGGTGCAGTATCCTTCACTAGTTCGAACCACCTGAGAAAAAAATATAAGCTCAGTAGTAGGTGCTATTAAGAGTAAATACTGATCTGTACATATAAAAATAAACACGAAAATGATAATAATTAATGAATTATAGATTTTTCTTTAAAATATATTTATCAATAAAGCATAGTGAATGCTAAATTCATTAGGTTTCCGTGGAATATTCGTTATAAAATTTACACACGGAGAGACATGAGTTACTTTCGCATTTATGATATTAGTAGGTATTTTTATTTGTGTTTTCATTTTGTGAGAGACTGGAGCAAGTAATTTGCTTTTGCATAGCAGGTCACAAGGGATTCCTTCTTTTTAAACGACTGCATAAAAGGAGGAAGTTCTCAATTCGAATGTTTGCTTTTGTATGTTTGTTACGCGGTCACTCTGGCAATTCCTTTTATTCGACAGATTAATGTACCGATGTGATCTCCTTTAAATTTTATCGAAATATAACAAAACATAATATGCTTTTCAGCGAACATCACCTAAATATTTTGATTAAATGTTTATTTCAGCTAAAAAAAAAACAAAAGATTTAATCGGGATGATGACTGGGTAAAAAAAATGCAATTTTATTTAGTCCGTCAGTCAGATAATAGGAAAATATTAGATACGTATTTTTTTTTACTTCAATTTAACAAGAAATAGCTTAGATAACAGATATTAAAGTTGAAGAGTGGGGGCTCGCTACGTCACAGTTGAGTAGAAAACGTACTCTAACATGACGTCATGCGAAATTTCAACTTCATGTAACGCCGTAATTGTATGATTACGAAAGGAATAAAAAAATACGTGTTTAATATTTATTAACACTCTACCTGACGGACAAACAAACTAAAATTAGTCATCATCCCTATTAGTAAAGTTCAGAAAACCTCCGTCCAACTTTAATAGAATTTACTTGAATAAGTCCCTCATAAATTGCAAATTTACTCACTTGGCAACACTCGGATAAGGTTTCAAACTGATACCAGCGACGTCGATGGTGGATACGGTCGCGACCAGAGACAAATCCGCTAATGTCATCTGAGGGCCAGTGGCGTACTCCCCATCTCTACTCTCCAGGAACGTATTCAGGAAGCCGAGTCCTTCTCCGAGTTTTTTAAGAAGACCTTCATCCGCTGGAGCACCCCCAAATATTTGAGGATACTGAAATCAAAATACAAAGACAATTTTTGTGAGGGTTTTTGTCTTCAATCAATTCAATTATCTATTGACGCATCGTTATAATTTTTAGACTCCTTCTTGAGATACATTTTCAAGTGGCGTGGTTATATGGTAGGGAATCTTCTCCGTGAGTCCGTTCAGTGTACTAGTCTATCAAATTGGGCCTACCTACTCACAGAAACCCTATACGGCAATAGTTTATTGCTCTCCATTTTACAAAAATTTCCAATCTTACGATAGTGTAAGAGTGCACAAATATATCTTAAATAGTGGCAAATCACAGTTTGAAAATACTGGCCTACATTATATATCTAATCAAATGCCGTTTATCTAATTAAATACAGTATATTTAATCTAATCAAATATCACATAATCCTTTTATTAATAAATTAAAACGATTTCTAGTTTGTAAAACCTATTACAGTGAGCATGAATATCTTGACGACAATATTAAAAAAATACTACTTAAAAATGAGTACATTTGCAAATTAATAAAATGAAAATAATCGAACTATTATAAAAAAAATCTAATAGAGTTAAATTTTTATTGCAAAAAATAATATACTTCTAAATTAATAATTAAAATAATGGAACTAATAAATTAATTTCAAGGAAATAAAATATAAATGAAAACTTTGATTAAAAACGCCTCAGTAAATTAATTTTAGATAAAAAAAGTCAAATGACATAAATTAGCCATATCAAAAGAAACAAATTATATTTTAACAACAATATTAAATTAAATACAAATCAATCAATAAATATTATACAAATGATAATATTGCATAATAATATAATATTTATAAAGTTGTCTTAATTTATTTATACATATGTATATTATATTATTAATGAAATTGTAAGGCTATTAATAATAATTATTAAACTTATCATTTTATTATACATATTTTATTTTGTATTTGTTGTTTTAGAATTATGATTATTAAATTACCAGAGCACTTATTTCTAAAGTGTTGCTGTGCCCGACAGAGTCCATAGTTTGATTCTGATATTACAAATTATGTTGTAACATATATGTAACACTATGGTTTGCAATAAACATTTGACTATTGAGTAATCAGTTCCCGTGGGTGGTAAAGAAATACTTAAATTGGTATCTAAGTTGCAGGACACCGTACAGCACTCGCTCTAGCATTATCAAGAAAACAATTATGGATAATAACACTTACGAAATATTGGGCGAAACGCGGATATAATGTCCCCAAATCAAAGTCCAGTGTTTGGTCGACGAGTGCTCTCGCCTGGGGATCTTCAGGATAGAGAGTACTACCTTCCCCGTACTTGTTGAAGAAGTATCGGCTAATGGCGCGGGATTCCCACAGGGCGAAGCCTTCGTCGACTATCGTCGGGACAGTGTGTTGTGGATTGATCTGGAAATTTATTAGGTAAAGTGTACAGGTTACTTCCATATCCTCTTCCTTCGGTGACTTGATCGAGTGCGGACGTGTCAGTGATTTTATTGTCATTAACTGCTAAATTCCTTTATGATCTGGACGATAACGGCGCCCCCCTTGCCAAGAAAGAAAGCGACACAGCTATCCATCCTTTGCTCGCTCCGCTGCTATCGTCCGCGGACACTTCCAGCGACGCTAAAAAGAGACGGTTGCCATAATTGCTTTCCCGCTCTTAACGAATAACAATAACAAAGATAAGGTGCCATCCTGCTTTTTCTGTAACTTTTGTTGCTGCAGTACAGAGCTACTACGAATAACTACAGGGTCCGCTATATCCGCTCGTTACGTTGTATCTTGTTACGTTAAGCTAGAAATAAAAATAAATCAACGGCTCGACGAAAACTGACTTCGTAAAATATAGAAATTATATCATGAATAAATCAATGTCTGAATCCAATCTAAGTGAAGGCAGTAATGAAAATACGACTAAGAAGTCATCACAACGAAACAAAAGATTAAGGGAGGAAGATTTACCGGGAGAATTTTACAAATTTAAAGAAGAAATGAGAGAATTAATATCTAGCTTTATGAATGCACAACAAAATCAAATAAGTAGTATTTTGATGGATTTAAAAGAAATACAAAATACAAACAATAGTATCAATAATTCAGTAATGCTATTAACTAAACAAAACGAAGACTTTTGCAAAAAAATTGAATTACTTCAGTCACAAATTAAACAAGACCGCGAGTATATTTCTATTCTCGAGAACAAAATAGAAGATTTCCAACGCTCAAGCCGAAAGACCTCCATTGAAATAAAAAATGCTCCTAAGAACAAACAGGAATCGAGAGAGGATTTATTAAAAATGGTGATGTGCCTTGCAAAAAGTGTTGATCTCGTAATGGATGTTAGAGATATCAAAGATATTTTTAGATTATCAGAAAGAAAAGAAAGAGGGGTAAACAACCCGCCTATAATTTTGGAGCTCGGATCCACCCTTTTGAAGATTGATCTACTCAAGAAGATAAAATTGTTTAATTCAAAAAACAAATCCAAATTACAAGCAATGCATCTCGGATTCACTATAAATGAACATAACCCAATTTATATAACTGAGCAATTAACTTCAAAAGCTGCGCGATTATTTTTCCTAGCACGAGACTTAGTGAAGATGAAAAACTATAAATATTGCTGGACCTCTTTTGGTAAGGTATTTGTTAGACAAGATGAAAGCTCTCGCATTATACAAGTTACAACTGAACCTCAAGTTCATCAACTACTACAAAAGCCATGACTATATAAAGTAATTAAATTTTGCATGATTTTGTTATTCCTAACATTTAAGTGTATAATTAATAATTTACTTTTTTTTTTTTTTGCCATAAAAAAAGTACATAAGTTGTTAACCAAATGTAACCAAGCTCAAACTACATTCACTTACACAACACCAATTACAATAAACACAAAATTACATACAAAATACAAAAAACTGACAATATAAATGTTTTTCTGTGTGTACATATTTTGTATTCTTATATTAGTTTAAATAATTATTTAATAACCTTCTGTTTTGACCATATGAACAAAATTAGACTAAAATCATGGATTTAAACTCTAATATTATGCACGAAATAGATAACATTGAAATAGCAAAAAGCACATCTTGCAACTTAGAGGACCTATTTAAATATATACACAGAGAAAAAGAAAACAATTTAACTATAATAACACAGAACATAAGAAGTATATATAAGAACATGGATGACTTGCAAGTTAACTTAACACAGCTACCCTATAAAATTGATATACTTATCTTGACAGAATGCAGGCTGAATGCTAATAAAAAAAATTCCAATTATAGGCAATTATACGGGACACTACACTAAAAATCTTTATAACCAAAATGATGGTGTTGTGGCTTATGTCATGACAACCATAGATGTTATTGTGACAGAAATAAATTTATCACAAGCCTCCGGGCTTCAAATTGTTACACCTACACACATAATATTAGGAATTTACCGCTCTCCATCAAACATTAATGCTGAAAATTTCATAAACTCACTTAATTCTCATCTAGAAACTATATCTAATCACCAAAACATCATAATTATAGGGGACATCAATATTAACTTAATTCAAAAACCGAACAAAAAATCCACTGACCGAAAAAATAGGTTATCGTATTTAGACATGCTATCTATGCACAGTGTTCTTCCCGGGCATTGTCTACCAACTAGAGATGATAGCTGTCTTGATCACGTGATGATGAAACTGAATGTAAAATATTGCTCTGCATTTATTACGGTGCTAAACTGTACAATCACTGATCATGCAATGGTAATACTTGATATTCTGAGCATCGGAAATAAAGTTTCTAATGACCCAAAACCCAAGTACAAAAACGTAACTAATTATAAGGAAGCATATAAATCTCTTATGCAAATCGACCATTCGTATTTTGATTTAGTTTACGAACCTGATAACTTTGCAAACATTCTAATCGACAGGATCAGGACAGCTATTACATCTAATACAACATTAAAAATAATTCCTAGTGGAAAGAAAATATTAAAACCATGGATAACAAAGGGAGCTCTAAAATGCATTAGGCTAAGAAATAGCATGAATCATAAGATGAAATTAGAACCACACAACGAAATATTAAAAATAACCTATAAACGTTTCCGTAATTATTGCACTAACTTAATTAGAAGACTTAAAAGACAATATAATAGAGATAAAGTAATGGAAGCTAAGAGAAATACACAGAAATTATGGTCAGCCATCACTGACATTACTCAGTTCAAACCCCCCAAAAATACTAATAGGGATCTTTTAAAAATAACATTTAACCCTATCGACTCGGTCAACAGAGTGAATCAGTTTTTTGCAAATATTGGCAAGATCTTAGCAGATGAAATTACCACTCCCAAAAAGTTAATTTCTACTGTTGCAACAAGCTTGTCTTTTTCAACCTCATCATTTGTGCTTCTAGATACAGATCCACAAGAAGTAAACAGTGTACTCATGAATCTTGACTCTAATAGCGCAACAGGGTGGGACGGTATCCCTACAAAGTTTCTGAAACATGCTAGGGATTATGTGGTACCCTTAATAACCCAACTTGCAAATCTCTGTTTTAAAACTGGAGTATTTCCGAAGTCTCTTAAACTATCGATTATAACCCCTGTGCACAAGGATGGAGATAGGGGCATCGTCAATAACTATAGGTCAATATCGGTACTGTCTGGAATATCGAAGATCATTGAAAAATTATTAAATTTAAGACTCACAAGATATCTGCAAAAAAATAATATTATATCTAATAGTCAGTATGGGTTTAGGAAGAATTTATCAACACAGGATGCTATAAAAGACCTAACTAACTTAATAGTGAACACTGTGGACAGCGGCAATAAGTGCGTGGCGGTATTCCTAGACTTAAAAAAGGCATTTGACACCGTTTCTATCCATATACTTGTGCACGAACTAGAAAGAATTGGAATAAGGGGCACACCACTTTCTCTGTTTACAAGTTATCTTCAGGAAAGAAGACAAAAGGTTAGAATAGAGAGTTATGTCAGTGACGAAGAACATGTTGTAACTGGAGTTCCTCAGGGAAGCGTTCTCGGACCAACATTGTTCCTTATCTACATAAACAACTTGTGTAATATGAGACATCAAAATGGTGATACTTTCTCATATGCGGATGACACTGCTGTTGTTTTCTCTGGAGCATCCTGGGTCGAAGTAAAGAAAAACGCTGAACTGGGACTGGCAAAAATGGCGAGATGGTTTGACACTAACCTTCTTACTCTCAACACTGCAAAAACCAACTATATATGCTTTACACCGAACCAAAGAACACAGCCAGATATAAATACCTGCCATCTGAGGATACATAGATGTGACGATTCTAATAGTAGCAACTGCGACTGTTCCGTGCTAAAAAAAGTCAATTTCATAAAGTACCTTGGCGTTTGGATAGACCAAAGGCTATGTTGGCATTACCACATCGATCAAACCGTCACCAGAATTAGGAAACTAATTTGGATTTTTAAAATGTTAAGGAATTTGATGCCCGCGGTGATACTGAACACCGTCTATGTAGCCTTAGCCCAGTCAGTGATTACTTACTGTATTACTATATGGGGTGGTACAACTAAAACTAAATTTATAGACATAGAGAGAGCACAAAGATCACTCCTAAAAGTCATGTACTCAAAACCGTATAGATACCCTACAACTAGTCTATATAAACTTTGTGGTCTTTTGACAGTCAGACAATTATATATAACGAATACAATATTATGTGTACACAAAACATTACCTTACAAAGTAGTAAATACAAGTAAAAGACGAAAAGAGGTAGCTATAAAACCACGTCAGATGCGAACAGCATTTGCTGAGCGTCAGTTCATTTGTCAGTCAACTAAAATTTACAATAGATTAAATACAAAATTAAATATTTTCCAAATGAATTCTTCTACTTGTAAAGATTCCATAGTAAAATGGTTAAAGACTCTCAACTATGATGAAACTGAAACACTTTTATGTAAATATAATTGTTAATTTATTTCCATACATACCCATACAAATACACATAACAACACACAAACACTAATTATGTTACAAATGTTCATGTGCACACAAAATTCACACACATCCATACATACATACTCTCATACATACACCTGCATACATACAAGAAAAGAGCTGGGAAAGATAGAAAGAGAAAGAAAGAATCTATGTTAACTTTAATGTTTTTAGATTAATGCATGATAGGATGAGCGAGGCACCCCCAACACGAGTAACTTCAATTTACTTATTGGGGTGGTCTCAAAACAATCTAATGTAACAATTATTGAATAAAATACATTATTATTATTATTATTATTATATCGTTATTAAACTATATTATAACTACCTAAACTACCTAATACTTTACGCTAGCTACGCGGAGTTTATTTTTATTAAAGAAAAAAGATATAATGCGACTAAATTAGAAAAGTACCTACGACTAAATTTGCATACTAGCAAATCATTTGCAGTGTTTGCATGATTCAACAGTTTGTGTATCCGTGTTCCAACATAATTTCTGTATCTCATTTTAGAACTTGCTTTATCATATTAGTTGTTAAATTGAAATGTTTTCTAGGCAATTCGATAAGCATGTGTACGAGTTCGATTCTCGCACCGACGTATCTTAAAAAGCCATTAGACCCTCATCATCACTTTTTTGTTTATATTTAAGAAACTTGTGGAGATATTTTATGACCAGTCGTTTTATAAGAATAAACGAGGGAAGATTTTCGCCTATATTTTTTCTTAACATTAAAAATATTTGATTACAACATATCAATTGTTATTATTTATTTTAATCTATAAATTTGTCACTAATAACCGGAAGTCAATTTGATAGGCGTTTTTGTGATGTAAAAAACAAACGTGACTTCAGGCATATTTTTTGAATAAAAGTGAAAGTGGATATTTATGTTTTGTGATCCTTTAGTTATTAAGCAGCAATATTTCAGGGCAGATACGTCGCTTTTTACCGGGTAACAGCAGAACAGATAAATACATAATGTGACATTCAACCTTGAACCTTATACACTAGAGACAAATGATCCAGGTAGGTACTACCGTGAGACGTTTGTCGGACTTAATATTCTTTTACCTTTAGGAAGTCCGGAGTGAGTTGCTCGCCAGCTCTGAGATCGATCAGGTTGTGATTAAGCTCGATGTTGAGAGCCGCGGCTACCAGCAGAACTAGTCTGCATGGCGCAGAAGCTGGCGTGTAATAAAGATCTATGGCCATTCTGTTCCTAAAATTACCACAAAATGTTTAACTTCACTAAGAATTTTATAACGTTTTTATTTATTGAAATTACAACACTTGTACACCGATGCTGTTGACAGAATGGAGATGATACGTTATGTTTTAAATTAGATTATACAGCTATTTACATCTATAAAACTTTTTTCCGTGACATTAACGTAACATAAAATTCTGTCTACGAATAGGTACCATATTCAAATAAAATGAATCAAAATCGTATCTTAAACATGGAAAATTAAAAAGCCGGCATACTTACCAATCGAATACGACTAACTTGAAAACGAACAGTGATAGGACTGCTAGCCATCAGACACCAAATTACTTATCTGTACGTCGACCTTGAACGAGCAACTGGCTATTGACATTATTATACGACCAAATGCGATGTGGCCGGAGATTGGCGGTACTACCTTGCCAAATTTTACTAGTCGCAGGTAGGCAAGCAATCTTGGTATTCAAGTTCCTTGCAGGTAGGTTAGGTTCTAGTGATTACGCTAATTTATAAAATAATATAGGGTCTATAGGTCGGTGGCGTAGAGGAGTGAACGCTGCGGCCCGCGATCGTTGTTGTTAAGCAACTTTCGCAAGGGTCGGTCACGGGATATTTAGGGTATTAAGTGTCGGACCCTATATTAATTTATCAGAAGGTTAAATAAGAAAACACGTTCACTCTGTAACTCCGTATATTATCGACTAGTTAAAAAGTCTTTGTTCTACAGACGCTAACAAATTGTTTATAAACATCTTACAAACTAAACTGTACATGTACATGTAGGCATATGTGTCCCTACAGTACTCCCCCTCTTACAATAAAAAATAAAAGTACACATCACATATTGTAAGAAATGTAAAAGAACAGTACAATAAAGAACAATAAAAATAAAATAAACAATTTTTAAATAAATGACAAGTAATTAAAGTGGTTGCCATATAAAATAATATGTCATATAAAACATTTAATTTTTATCGAATACAAATTCTTACTTATTAGTAAACAAATTAAATTAATTTACATGTTTCCTATCAAAAGCTTATTACTAAACAAAATTACTGTTTAATAGTATCTAAATCCTAACCAATCTAAAATTATATTTACTATACTCTACAAATACATGTTGAATATGGAATTGAACCTATAATTTCCACAACCACTAAACCTAATATTCACTATGCTACTTATTCACTACTATTCACGTATCGTATCGATTTGTTTACATTAACAAATGAGTAATATTTACATTAACAAATTGTGGGAACGCGGCGATCTTGTAAGTTGAGTACAAAAATTGGTTGACAAAAGTTCTTTGTTTAAATCAGTACCCACTGTTATTATTTCTAGAGCTATATCTATGAAATTGAAATCTTGAGAACAGAACTACCTATTATTTAATTTACAAAGACTTCCGCTTGCTTCGTATTTCGTATACTGTTCTCTATGCTTCGTCCGTTCGACTAGCTACGCTATAGGTACGTATGTATTACGTCATGCTGTAAAACGTACGGGTGTATTGATAACGCGGCCACTACGCGTAGTTCTCGGCTGTAGAGCTTTACTGGAAGTGACCTCGTTATTTAAACTAGAATCGTTACTCTTATTAAAATTCGAAGTATAACTAAAATCTTTATCACTATTTATAAAAAATGCTGGTTTTAATCTTTCTATTGAAATAGTTTTCGTCTTATCTCCTATTTTAATATCGAAATTTTTGCCTTTCCGACTTACAACGTCGTAAGGGCCATCATAAGGAGGTTGCAAAGATTTACGAAATACGTCATTTCTTATGAATACACTCTTACAACTATTTAATTCGCTAGGCAGAAATAACAAACGTGAATTACCATGACTTGACGGTTTAGGTCACAAACTTTTAATGGAATCGCGAAGATTTTGTAAATATTCCGAATCCGAGCAATTTAATTTGGAATCTTCATAAAAATCACCTGGCAAACGAATTGTTTTACCATAAGTTAACTCTGCTGCACTAACGCCACTGTCACTGCGGGTTGCGGCTCGTAAGCCTAACAACACGACTGGAAGCTCGGTCACCCAGTTACTATTGCAGTTTAAACGTGCCGTAAGTGACACTTTTAGTGCTCGATGCCATCGCTCAACCATGCCGTTACTCTGCGGATGATAAGGTGTTGTTCGCATTTTAAAAATACCTAGGTACTTCATTAGCTGACTGAAAAGATCACTCTCAAATTGTCTACCCTGGTCGCTGGTAAGCTTCGAAGGGCTTCCAAATCGAGATATCCAGCCTTCAAATACTACCTTGGCTACTGTTTCAGCTGTAATATTGTGAACTGGAAAAGCTTCCGGCCATCCGGTACAACGATCTATCATTGTTACGCAGTATCTATGTCCATCTGCCGATGTAGGCAACGGGCCTACAATATCTATATGAACATGTTGGAAACGGTCTGCACGCTCAAACTCTCCTAATCCTGCTATCGTATGCCTATTAATTTTTGATCTCTGGCAACTAAAACAGGTTCTAGTCCAACTCGCTATATCCTTAAGCATATTAGGCCAAAAGAAACGTTGTTTAATTAAAGTTCTGGTAGTCTTAACACCGGGGTGACTTAAATCGTGAACCGAAAGAAAAGCAATTTCCCTGAATTTATCTGGTAAATATGGTCTAATTCTATTAGATGAAATTTCGCAATAAATATATTTTTCGCAGTCTGGCAATAATATTTGTTTAAATTGTAATTTACTATCTGTTGCTTGCAACGCTTGCTGTAGGTATTCGTCACTAAGTTGTTGCTCAGCTATTTCTCTAAAATCGAGTAAATGTAGGACAACTGATCGTTTCTATCCGCGAAAGTGTATCTGCGACTACATTTTGCTCACCGCTGATATGACGAATATCGGTGGTAAACTCGCTAATGTAAGATAATTGACGAATTCTTCTAGGGCTTTCTTTGTCGTTATTTAATTTTGAAAATGCAAAAACGAGAGGCTTATGGTCAGTATAAATAGTCAGTACACGGCCTTCCACTAAATTTTTAAAATATTTGATAGCCATAAATACTGCTAACAATTCCCTATCATAAGTAGAATATTTCGTTTCTGCTTGTGAAAGTTTTTTTGAAAAATACCCTAATGGTTGCCAATTGTTGTTATTTTTCTGTTGTAATACAGCACCTACACTAGTATCCAAGGCATCGGTCATCAGCGCTAAATTAGCATCTGGTAAAGGATAAGACAGTGTAGCGGCGCTTTGCAAGCTTTCCTTACACTTCTTAAATGCTTCGACAGCCTTATCAGTCCACACAATCAAAGTTTTATCGCGTTTCTTTGTATTGTGCAAATATTTATTCAATTCGAATTGATATTGAACAGCGTTTGGAATGTGTGCACGATAAAAATTTAATATACCGAGAAAACGGCGTAGTTGATCGACTGTCTCGGGTTTCGGGAAATTTACAATAGCCTGTACTTTATCTTGAAGTGGTCGCGCACCCTCCGTAGACACTTCAAATCCTAAAAACTCAAGTGTTGACTGACCAAAAACACATTTAGATAGATTAATAGTTATTCCATATTTATCAAATCTTTCGAAAACTGTCTTTAAATGCTCTTTGTGTTGACTTTCATTTTCGCTCGCGATAATAAGATCATCGATATAACTGAATAAAAAGTCTAACCCTTGTAGTACTACGGTATCCATGAAACGCTGGAATGTTTGAGCTGCGTTACGTAATCCGAAGATCATGCGCGGAAATTCAAACAGTCCAAAGGGCGTTATAATGGCAGTTTTTTCAATATCCTCCGGGGCAACCGGTACGAAATGATAAGAACGAATTAAATCTAACCGCGTAAAAATAGTTTTATTTCCCGCTAATAAATATTTAAAATCATGCAGTCTCGGAATCGGATAGCGATCCGGTTTTGTTATGGCATTTAATTTTCTGTAATCACCGCAAGGCCGAATATCACCATTTTTCTTTGGTACCACATGTAATGGACTGGCCCATTCGCTTTTAGATGGCCTACAAATGCCTAATTCCAACATGTGGCTAAACTCCTCCTTAACTTTCTTATAACGGTCAGGCGGAAGAGGTCTGGCTTTAGCGTATACCGGTGGGCCCGTAGTTTCTATATAATGACACACAGAGTGTTTAGGTGTCTCTTTGTAGGATACTATTTTCGTTATGTCCGGATAACAAAGCAATAAATCATGCCAATTACTATTACCTAAAACAGTTTTAATAGATAATTCACATTCGTTATGACTTACAACAGAGGCGAGAACATTTAAATGTGTAATTTGATCTACTAACTTGCGTGCGCTCATGTCGACTAACAGCTGATAAAGGCTTAAAAAATCCGCTCCTATTATCGGCTGTTTAACATTCGCTACGATAAAATTCCATTTAAATGCTCTCCTTAAATTAAAATCTAAAATTAAAGTACGCATACCATAAGTTTTTATCTCGGTTCCGTTAGCTGCATATAGTTTGTATTTATCACTCGCACTGTAATCGGAAACGCACTTTTTCGATGCCGGAATAACCGAAACGTTCGCACCTGTGTCAATTAAGAATTTCAGTCCACTTTTTTTGTCTTTAACACATAGGCGGTTATTCGATAACCCGATACCAACCTCCGCCTCCGGCCGTATCGCACTTAGTTTTCCGCTGGCTCTTGTGGCTTGGGCTTCCGCCAATTACAGGGCTCAATGCACTTTACGGCCTTATCTCCGTACCGATAATGGTAGAAACAAAGCCAATTAGGATTTCGTCGGTTTCTGGAATTCTCTCTCTCTCGACCTTGTGACGGTGCCCGACTGAATCTGTTTCCAGCACTGTAGTTCCTACCTCTGCACGGTCTACCACGATCCGCTTGCCGAGAGCGCCTTAACTCCGCCACTTCTATGCTGAGACGTGCTACCAACGCCGTCAGGTCGGATTGCTCCGAACATGTAACTTTTGACTCACGCTCTGAGGAGTTGCTGCTGGTTGATACTTCAGCTATATTGGAATGCCCAGTGGCCTCCATGACCTTATCAGCCACTACAGCCAGATTTGTTATATCTGTCTCCTGTGTAACGGCCAACACAGCTTGCACTGGTGGTGGCAAGTGGCTATTCCACATGATTTGTAATGTCGCGTCTGGTATTTTCCCACGGGCTAGATCTTTCATGCGTCGTAAGAGCTGCGAAGGCTTTTGACTGCCAAGCTCCATTTCACCAAGAAGCTTCTGGAACTGCCTCGTCTCCGACTCCTCAAATACATGCAGTAGTCTATCTTTGAGGGTCTGGTACTTGTGCTCACTTGGTGGTGATAATAATAAATCGCTCACCTGTGTAATCGCAGCCTTACTTAATTTAGTAACCACTAAATTTTGTTTAGCGGCGTCCGATAGTTTCTGTGACTGGATGACAGCCTCAAATTGGACAAACCAGAGTCGCGGTTGGTCTGCCCAAAAATCAGGAACTCTCGATGAAATGGTGATGGAGTCCAAAGATGATGAAGTCTCTGGCTTAACTTCGGTGTTGTGTTCCGAAACACGCGCTTGAGAACTTTCATTTTGTGGATTCATTGTTTATACTGCACTTTTTAATAAAAAAAATAAAAAAAGTGATATAAATGTTAATTAAATAAAATGTTCAAAACAACTAAAAACGTAATGTTCATCACGTCGGGGTCACCACTTTAGGGTATTAAGTGTCGGACCCTATATTAATTTATCAGAAGGTTAAATAAGAAAACACGTTCACTCTGTAACTCCGTATATTATCGACTAGTTAAAAAGTCTTTGTTCTACAGACGCTAACAAATTGTTTATAAACATCTTACAAACTAAACTGTACATGTACATGTAGGCATATGTGTCCCTACAGGATAGGTGACCAAAAAATTATAATCTCGAGCTACTTCGTGCTTCGGAAGGCACGTTAAGCCGTTGGTCCCGGCTGCATTTGCAGTCGTTAATACCCACCAATCCGCATTGGGCCAGCGTGGAAGGGTCGTGGCCCATCCTCCTTAACCATCCATAAGGAAGGCCTGAGCTCCTGCAGTGGGGACGTAAAAGCGCTGGTGATGATAGGGTCGATGCGCCTGTTTCCCGTCCACCTTCCATTTTCGACCATTTAACGGTCTTCCCTTGTAATAAGACCACAAACAGTAATGTTGGAATACTCAAGTGTCCAAAACTTAAATATATGGCATGGATACACTGATTACCCTCATACACACACTAATACGATTAAACGAAACTTTAAATAAAACCAACTAATAAATCTTAGAGTTACATTACAACACACGCGCCAATGTTAAAAAATAGTAGGGTGTCAATACTTTGAATGTAAGTTTCTAATTATTCAAAAATTGCAATCTTAATATTAGGCCACATTTATATTATAGATAATAAACAGTGCGTTTTTGGTTCCAACGTTTTCGTTTTGGAAATTTTGACCTACAGAACAAGCCGCGTGGACGGCTGGAGACCCAAGTTAATAATAAAGAATTGAAGGCTATTGTGGAAGCGGATTCATCGCAAACCACGTCCGAGTTAGCTGCAGGCTGCGGTGTTAGTGACTAGTGCCGGTGTCGTTTATTAGTTTTCTCAAATCTGGCGAGACGATTACGGCAGACGTCTATTGTCAGCAATTGCAAACCATGCTGGAAAAACTAGCTGTTAAACAACCGATGCTGGTCAATCGCTCTACGCCACTGCTACTTCACGACAACGCTAGACCACACACTACACAACAGACGGCTACCAAATTAGAAGAGCTATAATTGGAATATCTAAGGCATCAAACGTACTCCCCGGACCTTGTTCCAACAGATTACAATTTTTTGAAGTTTGGATAACTTCTTGCAAGGAAAAAAATTCAACTCCGATGGGGCAGTGCAAATCGCCTTCAAAGATTTTATTGATTCCCGCCCGAATACTTTTTTTAGTAAGGGGATCAATTAACTACCTATGAGATGGCAAAAGCGCATAGATAACAATGGTTTATACTTTGATTAAATAATTATATTAAAAAATATTCGACTTTTTATTCCTCCCATACCAAATACCAATTTCGTATATCAGGACCTAATCTCGTACTCCCGTAGTCTATTTCTCCCAAGTCTCTATTTAATAATACGAATTTTGACTAATACTAAGTGCAGTCTCAGCGTAAATTTGCTTTAACGCTAAACCCTGTTTATTAATAAGTTAATAACACTGTTAAAGTATTAATTGATTTAGAATAGACATTCATTAAAATTCAGAAATGTTATCTGTCTCTTGGGCTAGCTTCAAATTCTTAAGAGCGCATTTGAAAGACAAGTCTTCGTTAGAAACGAAACACAAACAGTTACGAAAATCGTACTTTGAGAACGATAGTGACACAACGCAAAAAATGCGATTTTGAGTAATGAGCATTTAAAGTTCTAGAAATTGTAATCAGCCCGCCCCTCTAAACAACGTATCGTCACTACGCCACCTAGCAGTTTCTATGCAAGCTGCGTTCACAGGGATCTTTGCATTTTAAAGTTTACACGTAACAAAGAAAAATGTTGCCAAAAGTGAAATATTCGTCGTTTTTGGTTAGTGACATTGTCATTCTCAACGTGCGAAATAACAACACATAGAAATTTACATTATATTTTATTATCTTTGTCTTTAATAAAGTAATTACAGATAGGCACTAAAAAAATAACCATGCGTATGACCATAATACAATAATATATTACTTAGATACAACGAACAACCGCCTTTTATTACCGTAAACAACAAGCGGCGAAGTCTTGGTTTTTAATAACGTAGTATGACAATATCGGCTGCAAAACTGGCAGTACTTGACCATCGAAACAACGAGTAGTTATTATAAAAAACGGCACTATACCAAATTATTATTTTAAACATATTGCAACACCGCTGAGTACACTGTTCGATGATCATTCACACGGATCCATAATTTAACAGGAGGCATAAACTAACAAACAAAAGCTTTAATATAATGTACATGACTCGCATGTTCCACAGAAGGCACATAATATCAGTAAATAAAAGAACTTTATTTAAAAAAGCTATCTCGTTACTTATCACGAACTACCCGCTAGTGTTATACAAAACAATTTTTATGAAGCTTGATGATTTGTGTGATATAAACTTTTTTTTTAAATTCAATAATGCCAGTCCTATTTATTGCTCAGTTCAGAAAAATGACTTCAGACGCGAGGATATTCGTTTAAATAAATCATAATAAAAAAACTATAATGAACAGTTAACTAGAAACATTTTAAATTCTATAAATAAATAGATACAATATGAATTATCTACTAAGTCGAAATAAAATGTATTTTCCCCTAAATAGAAATAAAAAAAAACACATCAGTAATAAATTACACATACTGTGTATAACTAGGAGCGCCAATGAACAATTCGTTTGGGTGCTTGCTAATATAACTGAACTTTCGACTCGTACTAATTAGTGTTACATTTTATTTTCACGTTACGATAATTATAGACTTTTAAACTTCATTCGTTCGGACACTAAATATCAATAATTATACAAAGCTATCTACATGAGCCACTCTTATACCGCTTGAGTTAGTGTTGCCAGTCTAAAATACCCCGCTCCTAATGACTGTAGTGGGCAATGGGTAGTATTGAGTGCTGTTGAAGTTCTGGACGACGTATTTTTTGTACTGGCAAATAACAGTGATGATAAAGAACATTGCTTGGGAATGATTCGTGATGATTGTGGATGGTTATCCAGCAATATGCTTCTCTTGTTAGTATCGGCTCCGACAATAACTGGACTTTTCTGTAAAAAAAGAGATAAAAATAAATTATAAAATTGTACTCAGACATTGCGCAGTAACGGAAAAGGTCAATTTATATGTAAATATTGAGTTACATATATGGAAAATAAAACATAAAATGAAAAATATCTTTAACTTTGTAATAACGCTAAAAGAGACGTAAGTCATTTTTTTAAATAACCAAAAGTAATAATGAAATTAGGTACATTAGATATATTTATTTTTAGCGAAGTCAAGTAAGAAGTCAAATCATAACAGCAGTTGCTATTTTAGTTAACAAATAACAAAAAAAACAACAATCGAAAACAACTAAAATTAACTTAAATAAAAACTAAAAAGAAAGAAACAAGCCCAGTAGTTTAGAATTTTGTTAAGTAATACAGAACAGAACGACTCATAGTCAGGGCCCCTTGGGAACTTTTGATTGGTAAAATTTGAATGGGCCCCGATTGTGAGTGGTTCTGTTCTGTTACTTAACAGAATACTAAACAGGCTTGTTTCTTTCTTTTTAGTTTTTAAGTTTATTTTTTCATGCATTTTTCTAAAATTCGTTTTTACGCAGTCGGGTTTTTGTTTTTCTTTAAATTATTTGTTTTATTTTATACTTTTTAGTTACGATTCGTTGACTTTGTTATAAAATGGTATATTTCGCAATTTAGTCATTTCATTGAGGGAGTTAATATCGCGGGGATTATTAAGTAGCTTGCGGTGGTCTAAACTACTGATGATTAGTCCCTCTAGAGACCTAACTCGGGTCAAAGCTACATATGCTTTATTTTTTACCAAATATATTTGTTCTTCATGCTTTTTCACCGTCTTTTTTTTTTGTCTATATATCGTTTATACTTTAAATAAAAGCTTAAATCAATAAGTAAGAAAATTAGCGAGAATGTTTTGTTAAACAACTTTAAGCCGTTATATATCCTAAACTATTATTTAAAATGAAAAATGATAAAAGGAACCTAAAGATGATTTTAAAATACCTATTCAACGGCACTCCAATTGACATAGTTCATCGATATATTTTTATTCATTTTGTGTTGTATTTTTTTAGTAGAGTAAGAACAATCTCAAGGAAGAATTGGTTAATTATAACTACCGTTCAGTCTCTCGAGTCACGTGTCTCTCTCGTTACGGAATGTTGGCAAAATTTCCGTGTTTAACGGAACAAGTCCACATTAAAAAAAAAGTTGAATCGATTGATGTAAGAATCATCAAAATCTGCCTACTCATTTGGTCTCTAGAACGCCACATAGAACCACCAAAATGGGGGCCAAGCGCATTAGCAATTGGTGGGGCTTATTTTCATTTTTTTTATTTCATATTTTTTTAGGACAGAGGCGCTGTATTCAGAAATAGAGTTATCAACAAAGTTCAACAGATGATAAATAGATATTAATAAAAAAATATTATAAGTATCACTGGTGTAAAAATTTGTTCAAACTGCGCATGCAGCGCGGGAAATTAAGTTCAAACTGCACATGCGTGTGCCATTTTTTCATATTCATATTAAAATCATAGACTAGTTTAATGAATAAAAAAAGATAGCGGTACTATGAGTTTTATGAAACAATTGGCGGTACTATAATGAGTTTTATTTTTAATTTTATGTATATGCGTTTATAAACTGCGTATGTATAGAATCGTCTTTGAATTCGTAATTCGAATTTTTCGATTTGAGTGTAGATAATAAGTTATTTAAGATACGAGTGCGGAAAGTAAGTTACGAATAAGGGCCAAATTGATTGGCACGAATTCGAAAAACCTTTTACGCTCAAGTTTCTTACAACATATGTCAATGCTTTTTGCCCCTTGAAATACTTTTGCCTCTAAAGTTTGACATATTTTCATCAATTTTTTTTAAATTAAATTTTTCTTTGGTGCTCAACCAAAAAAAAAAAATCTTTTAAGCACGTGTGCCGTAAAGGATTTCAGTAAATTTTTATTTAACACGTGTTTAAAGACTCACTTTCGGTGTTTACAATGGATTAAAAAAATAGCGCTTCATGAGCAACTGCATTGAAAAGACTATTATTATTATAATTTACAGTACTGACCGGCTACTGGCAGCACTGCTTGCGCACGCTGTCGGCCTGCGAGGGTCGCGCGTCTGCCGGCTCCGCGTCGGGTCTGATCACGTCGCCCTCGGGCTGATCCCGCATCTGCTTCTGGGACACGATCCTGTAGATCTCTGTTGGACAACACATATTGCTCTTTTACAAATATTGTACAAAGCACATTGCTCACATTCCGTAATAAATAGAGCCCTAATTACGTTTACTGCAGCCAGAGGTTCGAAAAAAAAACCAAAATTATCATAATAAATTTAATTAAAAAGGAAAATACTAAATAAAAATCTAAAAATAACCTATGACTGTTTCTATGTAGGAAAACAGAGTGAATATAAAATATTATGATTGCTTAAGTGGTGTAAACTGCAGCGTCGGCAACTCGTGTCTGCTTGACACGTGTATATACATAGCTGCGTAAGGGATTCTCTTTCGGTGTTCATACATAATTCCCTCATATCAAACTCAAACAACGAAGGCAAAGTTTATTTTCTACATTGCCATGACGGGAAATTTAAACCGGGCCTTAGAGGGTGACAAGTTTTTTAACTAACGTACGAATAATTGGAAAAACACGTAACCTCCGATAAGAAAATGCTGTATCAATACAATATTACAAATGTCATAAAAACATTAATGAATCTTAGCTACAAACAGCATTATTAATATTTAATGATTATGGGTTACTTTCCGTAGTTTCTACCATTAATAATAAACCACGTTTGGACCCTCGTTGATCAGATGTCTTGTGGAAATCTTATAAATGGTATTAGTAGGTGAATCAAATATTTACGATTCATAAACGAAATCTAATAAAAGTATATTAATCCATACAAAAAAGGACACACGTTATATTTTGAATTGCTTAGTCCTCGGCACGGTTGTAAAACTCCGTTCCCTTATATGACGCGAGTATTAACGGTCTAATCCCGTTAAGTTAATGAATAATGGAACAGGATCAGCAGTTTGTTTAAAAATATTTATATCCGGCATTAATCGTAACTTTGAGCTCTCGAGGTTCAGTGTTTAGTGAGTACACTTTCCGATTGTGCTAATTAAGCAACGTTCTCAAAGATCAGTCATCAGATGGGTGACCAAAAATTATAATACGAACTCTTTTGTGCTTATTTTTGAAGGATTATAAGCGTAATGAGCTTATTTGTAAAACATTTCACTTCAATAATGAAATAAATTCTTAGGGCCTGTGCGCACGTTATTTTAAAAACGCCGTCAATCTTTTTAACCTACAAAACTACACGCCTTAGGATTGCGAGAAGGGCCGTCCGCCTTTTTAACCTACAGAACAGTTTATTGTTTACAAGCCTTAGGATCGCGAGAAAAAACGAGACCCAGTTATAGAATGATTTGAAAGGGAGCGCTCGTTTCACATGTACTTCCATTCACGAGCGATATAAAATTTTATTCACATTTCATATCCACGCTGTGCTCATTGTAGACAGAGCGTACACTATAATAATGATAAATCTGTGACGTTAAGTAATGTGACGCAACACTGACGTCCGTACGCACACAAATGTTATGGACCCATTTATAGAGCGATACGCTAGTTTATTGAAACGGTGGCATTGCCTTATTAACATTATAATGAACATGTGGTCGGTGGTACCAAGGTGATCCTTATTTACAAATGAATGACATAACAGATGCCAATGAAAAGGGGAAAGATATTTTTAAGTTATTGTATCGATAAATAAATTAATGTTTATTATGTATCCAATCACATGAATTCGTAGGTATTGAACCTGAATGCATCCAATATTAATGAATACACTCAGTATATGTTTACATTAATGCAAAAAATTAGATAGAATAATTTCATTGTTATCTTTACTAATATTATAAAGAAGATTTGATTGTTTTTATTATATTAAAATTATTACAAGTATCAAGACGTCTTTATCCTACTTTAAATTTTAAAAGGAAACATAAACCCCTATGATATATTCCCGATTTGCCATCAGATTCTGGTACACCTGTATCTGTGACAATGAACACCCAGTCCCGAGAAAACATAGAAAAGACCGTTTTCTACATCGACCCGACCAGGAATCGAATCCGGGACCTCTTGAGATTATTCACGTAAAAACATTCCTATCACGATTTTGTTATCACTACATAGTATAAAACAAAGTCGCTTTCTCTGTCTTTAAATCTTTAAAACTACGCAACGGCTATCGGTGCGGTTTTTTTTTTCATACATAGGGTGATTCAAAAGGAAGGTTTTTATGTATAATATAACACCATGCGGGCGAAGCCGCTGGCGAAAAGCTAGTTCTGAATAAAAACATTTTATAAGATTAGTATCAAAACATTACATTTAAATTGTATAGCAGATAGTGAAGTATACAATTCGAGTTTCTCGTTTTTATTATTTGTTTTACCAATACAATAGTTAAAGTCACAGTAATTTCCGATATAAATTTATTAAATTAAAACACTCATAGTTTAAATACATTCAATGTTGCATATAATAATAATCAAATCACATAATAATTTAAACTATAGTTACAGTTATCGAAATAATACAAATTGAATAATTTTTAAATCATGCCGGTTCCAATTAATTTGATATCTAATATGACATTATCAAATTGATAAGATAACGTCGTCGCAAATCTATCTCAGTGACGAAATCTTTAGTAAACTTTCGACAAAATAAATCAAATCTTCAAAAACCAGCAAATATATGTTTACAGATATTGATGGTAGTAATAAGTAACCTACTTTGATAATGGTACACGCACATGAGAACTTGAACGTTTTATATCTAGGGTCACGGCAGTGGGCCGCCCAAACTGAGCCAAAGGAAACTACTTTTTCTCGATACGCATTGCCATTTTTTTGACATCATAACTGAAGTTTGGTTTACATATTCTGAAAATGCATCCTAAGAGCTAACTTCGGTTTTAAAATAACTGTGACAATATTCACTGAGTGTATTGTTTAATGCTTTTTTTTCAGTTTAGTTATCCATCAATACATACGACTATGTATATACATAATTTGTATCATAACAAAAAGTCTTCGAAGCTTTTTTCATCAAATCAATAATTGCTTTAATAGTGTGATCCGTGAAAGTAATCCCATCATCACCAGACTATTAATGTCCACGCTACAGGGGCGCAGATCTTCCTATGGATGGAATCGAATTGAATAGGGGGAATGGGCCATTATCCACCACGCAAGCCCAGAGCATATTGGTGGGTGATAACTACCGCAGATGCAAACGAGAACAACGGCTAAACCTTGCCTTCCGAATCACAAAAGAGCTCAAGATAAAAATTTTTGGTCACCCATGCCATAGACGACCTTCGCGAAAGTCGCCAAACGAACGCGCTAGCCACTGCACCATGGATCTCCTCGTAATCCCACTTGGACAATTAAAAATTCCAAGAATTATGACAGCAAATTTCATGGACAATGTACAAATGCGCAGAAACAAGTGAAATTCACATTGTTTAATTTTCTGGAAATTTAATAATAAGAATAAAAATTACCAGTGAGAATATTCTGGAATGCAGGCTCCACATTGGTGGAGTCGAGTGCAGACGTTTCGATAAAACTAAGGCCGTTTTTTTCCGCGAATGCCTTCGCCTCTTCCGTAGGGATAGATCTGGAAAGCAAAGTATAAAAATAACTTTGTTATAATACAATAACGTTATTGAGAATGGATGATTAAACACGTATTTTTTGCGTAATCAATAAACAAAATAGCGCATGACGTCACGCTTTTGTACATTTTCTACAAAACTGTGACGTAGCGAACCCCTACTCCTTAACTTTAATGCCTATTGGCGAAACCATACCTTATTTAAATTGAAACAAAAATCGTATCTAATATTTTACTATTATGTACCTGTTATCAGATTGATGGACTACACAGATTTTTTTACCCTATCATCCATCCTTAATCTCAGTGTGTATTAACATATAGGCTAATTATTATTCTACGAAAGATAACGGGGGTGAAGCCAGTATTCTAATATAACAATGACAAGTAGTCGGTTTGATTACTCCTTAATGCAACTTTAGTAAGAAGACATTTAATAAAAACTTCTAAGTAAAATTAGATACAAGATACATACCTGAGATGCCTAAGATCACTCTTATTGCCGACGAGCATGATCAGAATATTCTGGTCCGCGTGGTCGCGCAGCTCACGCAACCACCGCTCGACATTCTCGTAGGAGAGATGTTTCGCTATATCGTACACGAGTAGGGCGCCCACCGCCCCGCGGTAGTACGCAGACGTGATGGCACGGTACCGCTCCTGGCCCGCCGTATCCCATATTTGCGCTTTTATAGTTTTACCGTCCACCTACAAAGAAAATATGCTTGCGTTTGATAAAAGTATGACTGAAAATAAATTTAATATCCTATCCAGACTCGGTATAGGTGAAAACCACATTAAAATCCATTGTATTTTGGAGGAATTAAAAGCTTAATAGATACAGGAAACGAAAGTAGTTGAGTAACTTATACAATGTGTAAAAAAATTAAACAATAACAGTAATGCTGCAAATACAGCCAGAGCTAATGTAAACTTTGGGTGTTTTACAAGACACGGAGCATCTTAAGATAACAAATTATTAATCACCCAAAACCAACAACTTTATAGCTTAGCTTATAGAAGCTTTGCCTATTTGGTGGTGTGTTGACAACTTGGTGTTACCACAATATTTTCATCCTATAAAGTAGATACATATACAGGAATGCATATTGCAGAAAAAAGTACTAAAACTATTACCTATTTGCCAATGCTATTTTAATTATTTGTTACAAAGATGTTGGTCCAAACAGAATTATAATTACTGTAAACTTTTCATTTGTGTGTAAACAATAAAGAATTCAACTATCTATCTATCAATGTTAGACAATCAGAAGATTACTGGTATTTAAAAGACAGCAGCATTATTCAATAGAATAATATAATCTCTTTTGAACTATTTCTGAAATACTATAAACATTTATACTAATATTAGAAAAGACATACGACTGGTTTCTAAATTGAGAAAAGTATTTCCAACTGATTATTCTCAATATATTATGGTTTTTACTTTTAACATGGCAAGTCCTGTTTTAATCAAACTGCTATCAAGAAAAACCAATTTAAGTGACATTTAATTACAGTTTGAGAGATGCTTAACTTCAAATTCTCACATTCAGAAACCAACCGAACTTCCATTGGAAGAATGACAGTAGGGAGTGTTCAGAATTAGTTAATGAAACTACAGCTAACTAGTTTAGCTCGTCCACGGGCCTATAATTATAGGTGAAAGAATTTTTAAAATTAATCCAGTCATTGTGCCTATTCAATCTATCAACCAAACAGAAACTTCAGAAACCACAAATAAACCTAAATTTTTATTGATGACATAGTTATAAATTCACATCACACTTCCTTTGTGGGAAGAATTTCATAATATCACAATTACTTTTTATATCATTCAGTTAGGCTGAATGTATCTAATTCTGATTTGAAATTACTTTAATTGCTATATTGAAAAGATTTTCCTCTCATTAAATCAAACCAAAAACTCAAAAGCTGGTGTTGTTAGCCTCTAATCAAAAGGTTAATGTTTCTATTGGTATTCACTGATCAAGTACCAATTGACCTTAATTATTATAATACAAAAAAGCAGAACCAATGATTGATGTATAAAAAAAAAGTACACTTACAGGTGAATTACTAAAAATTCACAAGTGAATTTATGATAAGGATTTTAAACAATTAAATTGATAACCAATCACAGATTAATACAATTAAAAATATTATATGGATGTTTAATTTGTACAGCTTACACTTATGCTTTTTTTGGTGTAGTTAAATTATGATTTTTTTTCAAAATAATATTTCCCCCAAATACAATTTATTAGATGATATGTTATAAATTCACTGTTGGCTTACTTAAAGTGACTTGATCATCATTTTAAAGAACATTATCATTAAAGTTTACATAATTTTTAACAAATTATGTGAAAGTATGCAGTATGGCTAAAATTTTAATCTTTCACTGTTACTTTTATGTAGATACTTAGAAGTACTTATGTATCTACATAAAAGTAACAGTGAAAGTAATCTCACACATTTACACAATATGTTAAAAAAAAATCCAGTAATGATAACTTAGATCTTATTATTTTAGTAATTAGAAAACTAATATGAAACAAATAGCTCAATACATAAAAATGATAATTTCCATAAAAATAATAGGTATGAATGCTTTGAAATTCATGAATAACTAAATACAATAAATATGAATGAAAACAAAGAAGTAATTAATGGTGTTTATTTACCTCTATACTTCTTGTGGCAAATTCCACACCTATTGTGGATTTTGACTCTAAGTTAAATTCATTTCTAGTGAAACGTGAAAGAAGACTGCTTTTTCCAACACCTGAATCACCTATTAGCACAACTGAAACAAAGAATTCATTGTTACCTACAAACGCTTCATGGGCAACAATAAATTTTTAAATTATGACGTTCAAGAAAATTTTATACACTTTATATACTTCCCTGGCGACTATAACATACAGGTCAATTGAGTGGTGACTCATGAAAAACGAAAATTACGTGAAATCGATAGGTGCTTAACACAAAAACCGATCAGCTGATGAAATAACAATGTCGATAGTTGCAAAAAACTTTACTTTGATTCACCATGATACAATAACTAATTCTTGAAATGTTTATGCGTAATTGTAATACAAAACAAAGGAGAAATTAAGATCGTAACTTTTTTTGTACGTCATTGATAGCCGAAACAATGGGACATATGAAAGTTTACAAAGATAAATTCTGTTTAAATCTATATTTAAAATGTTGAGAATTTCTATACCAATTTACCTTTGAACAAATAGTCGTACTCGTCCTCTCTTGTGCCCATTTTGAAATATCTAGAGTTCTCTAAACGACGTCAAATTCGGTCAGATAAAAACGTCAAGATGAACGTAAACAAAAATAAATGTAGACACAAATATCACAGACTTTTAAAACACTACACAGCTTCACAAAAATCACTTTTGTATTAGGATTTATTTGATAAATATGGCTATTTCAATAATAAAGTCTTATATTCCTAAATTGTCATAGAGACAAAATGGCGGATTGTTTTACGCCCCTCTTGCCTAGATGCGTTCGGAAACATCTTTGCGCATCGTAATTATTGGGTTGCCATCAAAATATTTTAACTCGCCGTATTATGAGTATCGATTTGGCGTAATGGGGGAATGATGACAAAAACATTAGAATTTAATTTAAATTTCAGCAAAATTATTGTATATTTGTTTTATGTTTTCAGATGACTTCCGATGAGGCTAAAAATACTAATAAGTATATTTCAAATCTCTAGAAGAATGGATAAGATGAATACCGAAAGACAGTTTATTATTGATTTTCAGTGAATCCATAATAGTGGTATAATAAAAATCACAAGTTTTCTCTCATTTCATATATTCTATGCTATACAATATCATTATTATAACTGTTTTAAGCTGTGGCAGCAACAGTTTCATCTTCATCGTCACTCTCCTCTTGCACCTCTTTCGATAGAGTTCTATCCACAAACACAAATGGATCAATCTTAATTTTTTCTGTTGACGGTGGGCTTACTATTAGGCACCTGTAAAATATATCTTAAATATACTGACTACAAATTTTATGTTTAATAGTTATTTGAGAGATAAATAATGAAATTTCGAAAGTGGTAATTAGACACTGTTCATGGTAATCAGTGTTAAATGACCATTTTAACCTTAATTTACACAATAAAGAGATATACAAATCATCTGAAGCCTAATTCGATTTAAATACTTGCATTTTATGATGATGTATTTAAAAGATGTACGTTTACTTTAGTTTGACTAGACGTTGCTACTTAAAACATTTGAGTGATCAATCATTCTATTTTATTTTCGACTTGTTCTTGCCAGCGACTTCGCCCGCGTGGTCCAATTTTTACTCCAGAAATGAGAAAATTCCATAAAACCTTGATCCCCTTAGGGGGCGAATTTCGTAAAATCCTGTCTTAGTGAGCACCCACGTCCTCAAAAGTTTGCATGCGGGTTACACAATTTGAATCTAGTAGAACTTGTACTTAAGTTTCATACAAAGCTTCATCCCCTTACTAAGCCCCTTCGGAATGGAATTTTTTAAGAATCTTCATTCTAAATTTTATCTTTCTAAACTCAGTAGTTTCGGTTATAAGTTGTTTGTCAGTCAGTCAGTCACTCAGTAACGCAAGAATTTTATATATATTTAAAAGTAAATTAAAATTGGGAAATGAAATAAGTTTCTTAGTAGTATGTTTCGTTTTTTTTTTGTTTTGCTAGTTATTTGGTCCATTTTGATGTCATCGTTTCCGGTCAAGAATTATTTTAAAGTAATGTTGAACATAGTACCGCCATCAAGTGTCATTTAATTTAATAAGTTCCTTTTTAAAATACTCTCTCATTAACAAAGTCTTACATAAGTATTCATTCGGAAGTACCTAGTAATGAAGAGGCCTTCTCTTTTGGGGCGTACTGATTGCATGTTTTTCAATAGTGCTTCGATATTCTCTACTACACATTTGGGCTCCATGTTCACCTATAAAAAAATATTTATTAATGTAAGAAAATAGCAGTAGAAAAAGAGAATACATTATAACTACTTGTGAAAAAAAAACAACTTACAACCAATAAACTTTATTTATTGCCAAATAGATTTGGCAAAATAAAAGCGACAAGAAAGTTGATAAAATATCTCATCTTCAAATCCCTAATGTCTGAACTTTTTCTTAATATAAGAATATAAAAGGATTACTTACCCTCCCAACAGGCACTTCAACTGATCCATAGTTCTGTTGGTGTTCGTCCTTTACAACTCTATATTGAACGCCGCCAGCAAATTTCTTTACTTGTTCCGCCAATTTTGGATCAAGTGTTCCCGCTTTGACATTTGGGAAACGCCTCTTTAGTAGCCCACGTATGGGTACCAGATCAGTAATGATGTTGGGGTGAGCTATTACATAGTCGTAATCGCTCAGTTTGATCTGGCCTTCCTGCAAAAAAAAAGTATATTTTTGCACAACTAAACTTCATTGAGGGATATTGTTCAATTGACAATGAAACTATCTATCAGTTTTAGATGTTGCTAGAGATTTTGCTTTTCTATTGTATACCTGTTAAATTCAAATATTTGAATTTCACTCATAGTAAAAATGTCGCCTTATTCAATGTTATTTAAGTTTTTTTTGTACTGACAATACTAGGATTTGTTGATATAGATGATTCCTTCGGCATAAATAGGTATAAAATACGTTCACAATTATTAAAATAATATAGCCATTACTATTATACACATATTAGTTAAAAGCATTACTGAAAATACATTTCATGTTGCATAACGATCTGGTGTTTTTCTTATGTAACTGTTTACCGAAATAAGAGTGGCTATTTTTATCCAGATTACTCCAATGTTGCCATCTGTGAGGTCCTGTGATTAATTCCTTGCCAGAAGAAAAAAATAGATTATACATACCTTTATTAAGTTCAAAATGTTATGCTATTTAAAATTGTAATACTCCTCTCTATAAGGTAAGAGCTTTAGCTATACTTTCATCAGCAGCCTAACTTAGAATTTGAAGAAAACAAACTTTTACTAGCAAATTACATATGACGGTTTTTAATCAATATAATTAAATAATATAGATATTATAAATCATTTATATTTAAACAGTGGCTTCAGTAGTTTGACATTCAAAGTGTATTATGAATTAATAATATTATTACCTGAATTTTCTTTATAAGCTCAGTGCTGCCAGCAGTAGTAGCTCCTGCATCCAATACTTCTTTAATAAGTTCTGGTCCCTTACAGAATGCGAGGATTGTACGTTCCTCGTCACGAGGAAATATGTGAGGTAACAAACTCAACTGAACAAAGCTGTCCAAGTACCGATTCTGCAAAGTATAACAAAAACTTGTAAAAAATACAGTTGACTGCTTAGCCTTTATTCTGAGGTAAGCATGACCTAATTCATGATTGAAACAATCCCTTTATGTGCAGTTGAAAGCTAATGAAATGAATACCATTGTTTTTGAAAGAAGAGTTTTGAAAAGTTAAACAATAATGTTTAATAAACTATTAAATAAACTATATAAAAATATTTAATAAACTATAAAGTTTAAAACAACCTAGTACAGAAATCCTCTTTCCAATATGTGGAATGCAAAAACACAAAAATCAATGAGTAATTGGTCGTACTGTATCAAAGAGAATGTAACTGATGCAACATTGACTTGTAATTCTTAATAAAATTAGATTATAATACAAAAATCTTTTAATTATTTATAGCTGGAAATTCATAATAAAGCTAATTCGTGTTCCAGAAGACAAGAACCTTTTTAACAGCTTCCATATTGAACTCAACATGTGCAAATATCAGGGCGTCTGTCTGATTATACATAGTTGGATGGTGGGTCTCCTGATGGGCTCGTATTGCATCTTCTGCAGAGTACTCTAACCACCTATAATATTTCATAGGGTACACATCATCTATGGCTTCAGATTTGTAGCTATCATCAAAATGCTTGTTTATATTTTGCTTCACTAACCTGGAATGGAAAGTAAAGGTGGATTATATTTTAATATTTTACTGTGGATACTTGATTATTTGGGCTGGTAACATATAATTTACATAAAAAAAAACTATTTTGACCATTGTGTGTGACTTCAGATAGATAATTATCGCCCCAAGCCTACTATGCTTATATTGCACACAATAGAGTGGAAGTTTTAATACATATTATCTTCATGGTTGTTCTGTGTGTTAATATATAAATGTCTATGGTATCATACTAATCCTTTGTTTATGGCACTACTGGTATTCGTGATTTGGAATAATGTAGTGTAATTCTTTAAAAATGTTAAATAAAGTTGATTAATAAAATAAAGTTATTTCAAACTTATCATTATTATTTTATTAAGAAGATGGTGTCAGAATTCTCATTAAATAAAGAGAATTTATAGAAGATAAGTTTTATCTTAAACAAAAGTGAAAATTATCAAACAATATGGCTTCTTCAGAATTAGCGCACGTACTGGAAAAACAGTGTGAAATTCTCCAAAGTATTCAAAAACAAATAGAACTGCAAGGATCGTCAAATGGAAACCGAATACATGTTCCGTGGCCTGCGCCATTGGACGTGGAATCTACAAATCCTGGGGACGCCCTAGAGTTTTTTAAAACCACGTGGTATAATTATGTCGTTGCTACAGGGTTAAAGGAAGATCAAAGACCGACACTTTTAATAAATGCCATAGGACATGCAGCTATGAAAAAGTATATGCATTTTGGTTTGGAAGAAAAAGATATGAAAAGTGAGGCTAAGATATTTTTAAAATTAGAAAAATGTCTTGTGAAAAACCAAAATGTTATCTATAATAGGTACCTTTTCAATAAAAGAAATCAACAAGAAGGTGAAGACATTGATTCGTATATAAGAGAACTAAGAAAATTAATTAAATCGTGTAACTACAACACTACTATAATAGATGAAATGTTGAGAGACAGAATTGTAGTAGGAATAAGAAATGCAGATACAAAAAAGGAACTCCTGAGAGTCGAGGGACTGGATCTAGTAAGGACTATTAATATATGTAGATCTGCTGAAACAACAACTGAACAGTTGCAATCTATCAATAGAGTTACAACAGAAGAAAAAAACATTCTAAAAATTGACAAGAAACAAATAAAAACTTGTAAGTTTTGTGGAGAAAAACATATATTCAATAAGAAACTTTGTCCAGCTTGGGGACAGAGGTGTGAAAGTTGTCATGGCAGAAATCACTTTAAAAAGGTATGTAAGAAAACGAAAGTCATAAAAGAAATACAAGAAAACAAATATGACACAGAGGAAGAAACAGCAAATATAAGTGACAACAGTATATATATATCTAAAATTAAAACAAATCAACATTCTGGACATAAAGAGGTTGAACTCAAGTTAAAAATTGGCAATAGATGGCTCGATGCTTTCTGCACATTAGATACAGGAGCTCAGGTGTGTGTTATTGGTGTTGAACAATATAAGAAGATGCTCAATGATGATTGTCTGAAACATCTGCAACCTACAGATTTAAAGCTAAAGTGTTTTAATGGTACAGACATAGAGACATTAGGAGTGGTTGATATTGAATGTATGTATAAGAATAAAAAATATCAGATAATGTTTCATGTTGTAAATGTTAGTCATCAACCTTTGTTATCTGAATCTGCATGTGTATCTCTTGGGCTGATAAACTACTGTAACACTGTGATGATAGGTATGGATGATTACAAAGACACACAGGATATAGTTGCAAAATACTATGATGTTTTCCAAGGATATGGTGAGCTTCCAGGTGTAGTTGAATTGGAAATAGATGAATCCGTCCCACCCCGCATTCAACCAGCAAGACGAGTTCCTATGGCACTGCGAGAACCTCTTAAAGAAGAACTTGATAGGTTAGTAAAAAATAAAATTATTGTTAAGGAAGAATCACATACAGATTGGGTTAATAATATTCTGTTGGTTCGTAAAGGTAAAAAATTCCGAATATGTCTAGACCCTATACCATTGAATAAGGCATTGAAAAGACCTCATTTTCAGTTTACAACTTTAGAGGAAGTCTTGCCAGAATTAGGAAAAGCTAAAGTTTTTAGTACTGTGGATGCATTAAAGGGTTTTTGGCATGTTAAACTTAGTGACAAAAGCAGTAAACTCACAACATTCTGGACGCCCTTTGGTAGATATAGATGGCTTAGGCTTCCATTTGGTATCTCTTCAGCGCCAGAAATTTTTCAACAAAAATTATTAACGGTCTTGCATGGTCTAAAGGGTATTGAGGTTATGGCAGATGATATTTTGGTGTATGGGTCAGGCAACACTACAGAAGAAGCAATCAGAAATCATAATATTAATTTGGAAAATCTTTTACTGAGACTACGAGAAAACAATTGTAAACTTAATAAAGATAAATTAAATTTATTACAGAAATCTGTGAAGTTTTATGGCCATGTATTGACTGATACTGGTCTTAAAGTGGATGAAGAAAAAGTTACAGCCATCAAGAATATAGCTATACCTAAATGCTGTAAAGACGTCTCAAGGCTTCTGGGGATGGTAACATACTTGAGCAAATTTATTAAGAATTTAAGTTTTAAAGTAAGCTCGTTAAGAGAGTTAACAAAAAAAAATGCTAAGTGGCAATGGACAGAAAAAGAACAGGCTGAATTTGAACAAATTATTTTAACACTTAGTAGTTTGCCAACCCTTAGATATTATGATATGAATAAGCCATTAATAATAGAATGTGATGCAAGCAGTATAGGCTTAGGAGCAGCACTCTATCAGGACAAGGAGGTTGTAGCATTTGCTTCTAGGACCTTAACTAAGACAGAAAAAAGGTATGCCCAAATTGAAAAAGAAATGCTAGCTGTGGTCTTTGCTTGTTCTAGATTTAGTCAGTATGTAACTGCAAATACTAACACTATTATAAAAACTGATCATAAGCCATTGGTGAATATTTTTAAAAAACCTCTAATTGAGGCTCCAAAGAGACTTCAGCTTATGTTAATGATTCTTCAAAGATATGATCTAAAAATAGAGTATATAAGTGGAAAAAATAATTTTGTTGCTGATGCTCTTTCTAGAGCTCCAACTGAAATGAATGAAATAAACTGTAATGGTTTTGACAGTTTTTATAATAAACAGATTTTTAACATTATAGCCAAACATTCTTCTTTGAAATACCTAAAAATATCAAGTAATATAATGAAAAATATTAAAGAAAAAACAGAAGCTGATTCAGAATGTCAACAGCTTGTAAACTATATTATAAATGGATTCCCCAATTATGTCTCTGATATGCCTGAGAATCTCAGATGGTTTTATAAGTTTGCATCTGACCTGTCAGTTCAAAATAACATAATTTTTAGAAATGATCAAGTTCTTATTCCTAAATGCTTGAGAAAAGACATGTTGTCAAAGGTTCATTTAAGTCATAATGGCATTACTAGTACCATTAAATTAGCAAAACAAAATATCTTCTGGCCTGGCATGTCCGAAGACATAAAAAATTTCGTTGAAAGATGTAGAATTTGTATAAAATACTCACCATCTCAAATAAGGTTTCCCATGTTATCGCATGATATACCATCATATCCTTTTCAGTATGTATCTATGGATGTTTTTAATGTAAAAATAAATACACAATCTCTGAACTTTCTGATAACAGTAGACCATTACTCAAATTTTTATGAAATTGATAAATTAAGAGATCTTTCATCTAGAGAGGTTATAAATATATGTAAAAAGAATTTTGCAAGACATGGAATACCACAAAAATTATGTACTGATGGGGCTACTAATTTTGTAAACAAGGAATTTACCAAGTTTGCTGAAGATTGGGATTTTGTTCATGTAACATCGTCACCACATTACCCACAATCAAATGGAACTGCTGAAGCAACGGTAAAGTCGGCAAAGAAGCTCATTCTCAAATGTTCTGAAACAGGTGAGGACTTTTGGATCTCACTGTTACACCAGAGAAATGTTCCCAATAATGAAGATCATTGTAGCCCAGCACAAAAGTTCTTATCTAGAAGAACTAGGACCTTATTGCCTAGTACATCAGAACAAATGGTTCCTGTAAGAATTAACAACATTCCAGAAAAACTAATGATAAGAAAAGAAAAATCAAAATATTTTTATGACAAAAGATGTAGAAAACCATATTCCTTGGAAATGGGTCAAAATGTAGCCGTTCAAATAAATCCAGAAAACAATAATACATGGAAATTAGGATATGTGGTTGAAAAAGTAAGTGAAAGATCATATAAAGTTAATGTAGATGGTGTACTATACAGAAGAGACTTAATCCATATAAAACCATATAGAGGAAATATTGAAAAAACATGCAATGAAAAGAAAAAAGATGAAAATGTATCTAACTGTAATACTAATCAGAAATATAAACCAAATAGTATACATGACACAGATAGTATGGACTATGGCTGCGAAGTATTTGCTAATGACAATTTAAACTCAAATCTTACTTCCCCTATAAGTGAGTCTGTCTCAAGTAATATAAGAACTTCCCCTATAAGTGAGTCTACCTCAAATAATATAAGACCTGTTCGATGTAGGGCTATCCCAATAAAGTACAGAGATTATGTCTTATAATACATACATGTAGAAGCAAAATAATAGTTTAAAACTTGTTAATAAATTTAAGTTTCATAATATAAAAAAATATATATATGTAAGTTTTAAGAAAGTATGGTGTAAACTTAAGTTTATTTTAGTTTTAGTACTTATATTGTAAAGGGTAAGAACCAAATAAGTACTTGTTAAAACGGAGAGGATGTTCTGTGTGTTAATATATAAATGTCTATGGTATCATACTAATCCTTTGTTTATGGCACTACTGGTATTCGTGATTTGGAATAATGTAGTGTAATTCTTTAAAAATGTTAAATAAAGTTGATTAATAAAATAAAGTTATTTCAAACTTATCATTATTATTTTATTAAGAAGAATGGTCATTTTCGAGTTTTATTTGTGTATTATATTACGCGAGCCAAATATTATTAGAATGGGGAAAAAGTCTTTTCACATATAGTATGCGTACTTGTAATAAAATCTTTCTGGCTATACAATCTGGTTTCGGTATCATTTCACTTAATCTAATAAAATCATATCATTCTGCTAGAATTCAAAAAGTAGTAATTGATGAAACAAAATTTGCAGGAGCACCCATTACTATGTGCGTACCTCAGGGATCGATATTAGTACCATTGCTTTTTCTAATTTACATTAATGATCTTCCTCACTTTACGAAGAATTTGTGCGAGACAGTATTATTTGCAGAGACACCTCTTTAGTGTTTAAAGTTAAGAAGGGTAATGATTGTTTTGACGATGTAAATGATGCTCTCGACAATATTCTACAGTGGTTTGATGATAATAATTAAAAGCTCAATTCAAATAAAACGAAATATATCATGTTTGTATTGTTAGTCATTTTAGTACACTTATAGTGAAAGAGTTGAGTTGTTAGAATCGGCAAAGTTCCTTGGCATTGCACAAGATTCCCGACGACAATGGGATCCTCATGTACATAACTTGTCAAGAGGACTGAGTTCTGCAGCTTTTTCTGTTAAGAAATGTTGAAACGGCATGATTGGTATACTTTAGTTATGTCCATAGTGTAATGACGTATGGTCTATTGGGGTTCTGCGGCTAGCATTCAAGATATTTTTACTCTGCAAAAGAGAGCTGTCCGCGCTATATATAATTTACGATCTAGGGAATCTCTCAGAGAAATATTTAAAAAAAAAATATTTTGACTCTTGCCTCTCAATACATCTATGAAAATATAATGTACACAAGAAAACATTCCGATTCCTTCTCAAAAATAAAAGTGTTCATAATCTTAACACAAGAAATAAACTTGCTGTTCCAAGCTTCAGACTTCAAAAAACCAGAGAATCATTTCTGGGTAAATGTATTGCTATGTTCAATAAAGTTCCACAAAATGTAGTTGACCTACCCATAAATAAATTTAAAATTCATGTAAAGAACATACTTATGAATAAAGGCTATTATAAAGTTGATGATTATTTTAAGGACCACAATGCATGGAATTAATAGCCTTTGCTTTGTTCTATATCAACTAATTATACCAACCTATCTTCTACAGACTTTGAAAGCTGTATTTATTGTTGTTATAATACATACTATTTTGGTAATGACATAATTTATGTAAATGTCATTACTTATGATAAAGAGCTGATAACTTTCTTTCGCTTGTTCTTCTTGTCAGCTAAAAGACGTCCTGAACAAGTGGTAGGGGAAAAAAAGGTTTTTTGGACGATTAAAAAATGCTTGAAACAAGCTTACTTGAATAAAGACATTTTCATTTATTTCTTTAAAAAGTTTAAATTTTAGAGAAAACAACTCTTTAATTCTAATTAGGAAAATGTGCGAATTTGTTTTACATACTGTCAAAATGAGTGGATCTAATGAAGTTTTTTTTTGCAAAAAGGTAAAAATGCATCGCAAGCCGTGAAATAATTTGTGACGTATGGACCTAGTACAGTTTCTGTAAGAGTAGCACTATTTGGTTTAAGCATTTTCAGGCCGGAAACTTTGATGTCAAAGATGTACGCTGCTTTGGTCGCCCTGTTATGGATAAATTGAATGCCATTTTTAAAAAGGTGAAGCAAGATCGACATATTAGTTACTATGTAGTAGAACTGGGGATTGACTAATAAACAGTTTTGGCACATTTAAAAAAAGCTAGGTACAAAAAAATGATGGATATTTGGATACCTCTTGAGCTCCCTGAAAGAAACCTTCAATTCAATTTTCAATTCATGAAACCGACCATTTTTGAAGAAACTGGTGATGAAAAAGTGGATCATGTATGACAAGAACATGTGAAAATGGTCATGGTCAAAGGTCAGTCAGGCTTTACAGACTGTGGCAAAAACCAGGTTAACCTGCAAAAAGGTGATCTGCTTATCGTGAGATTGGAAGGGTATTATTACGTAAGATTACAGAATCCCCAAAATTTATAGCAATGGGATCATGGCCTTACCTACAATATGGCAAAAAGTTATCTAACATAATGGTACCCTCATATACTAGTATAAATATTCTTTATAACATAATTTTTTTAATTTTCATATAAAATGAAAAGAAACTTTTCCCCAACCTATCAAGAGCAGGATCAGGCTAGCTACCTATTTGATGGCATACCTGCCATTGTAGTACTGACAGGAAGATATTTTTTGGATTAGTGTAATTTCAAATTCAATATCATATAATCCGTTTAGGCTGTTACATGTAGGCCTTGTGAATGTTGAAGGCAAACAATGGCATACCATTGGTACACAAATCTACATTTATACTGAGAAGAACTAGCAAGAAACTCAGCAAGGGCTGCTATTTTCTTCTGGGGCTTTTTCATACATTATACATGTTGAATTAAAGTGACTTCATTAGAATATGAAGCCAATCTGTTATATCATACTGTGATGTGTTGATTTATAAGAATAATAATTTGTTGCACTCTTTACATCCTGAAACTGAAGTGAAATGTGAAACATATGGTTGTTTGTCAGTTCTATTCTTATTTAACTTGCATAATAATATTGTGTTTTATACATACTTATCCTTTCCTCTTTGATTGTGAGGGATGAAACCCACTTTTTTTACTTCCACTTTAATTTTTTTAGCACGTGCTTTTGCTCTTGTTCCTTTACGAGCAGCATCAAAAACTGCTGATGTATGAATGGTCCTCTAAAATAAATATTTTAAATATGACAAAACTATTTTTTGTATTAAATTTAACATAACTATTTTATATTTGTTTCCTAGACAGTAAATTTTGTTTTTCAAACACAAACTAATAACAATCACCTAATATTATGTAAATTAATAAAGATAACACTCTTTACTCTTACCAAGTTAATAGCATTTGTCTTATAAGTTGTTATTGCGTTGTGAAGAACTGAACCTGAAAACATTTTGACAAACGGATCATAACATAAAATGTAATCTTAATAGAAAATAAATAAAGGACAAGATTATTAACAGCCATACAATAAAGGACTTGATAAATAAAAATTTACTAGTATGATCCTTCTTTTAACGTTTATTTATTAACCAATATCTTTTGAGATCGGCAGTGTGAAATTTTGTATACATTAAAGTAAATCTATGAAAAATGATTTTTATTTTTTGTCCAAGCTTAAGCTTTACTTACGAAAAATAGTTCCAGCCATGATAGAATGTAAATAAATTTAAAATTACGAAATACCCGGGCCCTTATACATATTTTAAACTAAAAATAATTATTTATTTTATTTCCGTTTTGAAAGGATTATCGCACAATTTTGAGGTTACGTATCTAACTATATTATTTTTAAGGTAGGATTGGGCAAAAACTATCGATATATCAAACAATTGAATTTTTTTTAAATATCGATATATATAAGCGATATTTTTTCCTGCGATATATTGGCTTCCGATATTTATTTTCAGATAACAATTTCGTCTCAAAATCGATATATTTTTTTAATTTCTGCTGTCTGCTCATGCGTCACATCATGTATTTCTTAAATTTAGAAAAAGAGTAGGAAGACAGTCGGCTGTGTGAGTTTAGTCTATGACCTGCTAGTATTTTATGTTTGTCTATGGCAATGACACTGCTTGTTGGTTTGGTTGGTATCACTGAGTGTGCTCCTGATGTCAATATCAGATATATACACGTTTGTTTGAATAATCTAATTTTTGTTGTGTTGATAATGTTGTTTTCTTGCCTTTATGTATCTATTTCAAATAATAAAACTGATGTTAAAACAACTAGGTGAGTAGTTGGTTCAAAATTTCGAATATTTTGAAAATTTTCATTGATAATCGCTTATTACGTAGAAAAGATCGATATATTAATATATTTAGGTCGATATTTATCAATACAGATAAAAAATTCGATACGATATATATCGATATTTATTTGCCCATCCCTTTTTTAAGGTATATAACTTTAAGGCTCTTTTTATATTACATTCTCTTTGCTTCATGTTACACTATGGTCTAATGTGGTCATAGACTACAGTTGATACAGTTCATGCAGTTGGTCAACAGCACGAATGTCAAATTAAACTGGATTGCGTACTGATATATTTCTTAAAATCAAACTTACACTTTATCAATTATGAAATAAGGCTTATTTTACTATGTCACATTTCAGAGTAGAAAAACGGTCTACTAGAGATATTAGATTTGTCGCAGTAGGTCCTTGTCTAACAAGTTGCCATTGGAAAATTAAATAATCAATATTGGCAATTAGGAGATTTTATTGATTTTTTAAAGACATCACTAGGTAATTTTAATAATAATAATAATATTCTTTATTGCACACTAGACAGGACATAATACAGAGAAGATAGAAAAAAGAGAAAGATTACCAAGGGCGACCTTATTGCTACGTAGCAATCTCTTCCAGGCAACCCGAGGCAAAGAAATACATGAACTATATCATAAAAAGAGAGGGGTGCAAGATGGAGAAGTAAATAGATAAATTTGTATAATGTAATATAGTAAATAAAATAGATAAAGATAAAAAGTCATAAAACATAAACATAATAACCACAGAAATATATCTAGTTAGAAGGAAAAGTGTACGTACTTCGCGTGCCGAAACGGCGTCTAGACAGCTTCATTGCTCGCCGCGAGGCTCAGTCCACTTTCGATCGCAATCGGTGTTGGACGAAATTTAAAATGATGCGTTGTTCGATAATTACCTGCTCAAACACCACCAATATGGTTGGATCTTATAGTCGAGGTATTTCCTTCCATCGGTAAGTAACTATTTGCCTTGATATATCTATTTTAAATTAAAAATCATTAGTTTTGTTGCTCCGTATTATTTTTATCAAAACGGTCATGTGTCTAGTAATAGCTTTCCATTGCGGCTTTAATTTGACAGTCCAAATTTGCTGTGCTTGTAAAACCATCGATGTATAATTCAAGGTCAATTTGTTGGAGGCCAAAAATGGAGAATAGTGCTGTACAATGCGATTTTTTTACCCGATTAAAAAAATATCGTTTTTGAAAGCAGAAGAAAGGATAATTAATTTTATATTGAATTATACTGTAATTTTTGTTTTAGTTTTCCGTATGATCCTAATATTAAAAATAAATGGATTGAAGCAACAGGACTCTAAGGCAAATAGTAGGTATACTTACTGGATATGGAAACTTTAACAAACACCTATATAACATGGGTTATTCTGACATTCCTCTGAGCAGGGCGTGCATGGAGACTGAGGAGATTGTCTCCTCAGTCTCCATTCCAGTATCACATAAGCGCTTGTGCACTCATGTGATACTGGAATGCAGGAGCCTATTAAGACAAAAGGACTACATATCTATGAAGCCCAAGGATACTAGTGGAAGCATGCGGCAGAGTTCGAGATCTTACGGGCTTCCTGGAGGAGCTGGGGTGGCAGGACTAAAGCAACCCCGTGTCTGGAAAATAGGAACTGAGTATCGAGTTGCAGAAAAGCCCGCCGTGAAACATAACATAACAACACAGGACGTAAAAATGTGTAGCATGTCGGGAGGGGGTAGCGGCTACTACAAAGTGTTTGCCCACAGAAAAATGCTGATTTCTATTCTATCACATAAAATCTTTTTTGCGCCGATTCTATAAATTACATACGTGAGTTCGTGACATATACATAATATTTAAGCAAAATGGTAGTCTGTCTATAAAGTCATGAAAAAAATTGAGGGCGCTTCGATCGTGCACGTAGCAACCCTGTGTAGTGAGACAAATGATTTTGATAGTAGGATTTTTTTTTTACTTTTATTACCCCAGAAAAGGTAAAGAAAGGCGTATAATTCGTAGACAATGAGTTTATTCTACATTGAAAATTACAATATAGTAATCGTAATTTTTGATAAATCTTTTTTTTTTATAATTGCCAAGTTGTTTTCTCGTTTTACTGCAATGTGTGCTTGTGTTCTATTAAAGCCTGTTACTTTGACACTCCTTGTAAGAAAACCCAATATATTTCAGAATTTAACGAAGGACTTCTAGGCTACAATTAAAATCCAGATCGGTTTTGGCAATCCACTGATGTTTTCTTCATGTAGGTACCTCTTTTTTTCACAGAGTAAAAGAACTGAATCTTTTGTCGAAGTGCACAAATGTTGCAGTTAACCATTTATTTCTTAGGACGACTATCTATGTTTCCCAGGGGTTTCAAATATGCCACCATTCTTATAACCTTCATCTACAATACGTAGCACTATATTCTCTGATTTTCCTGAAAGTAAGTTTTAAAAATGTAATACCTATAGGTATTTGGCAAAAAGAATGGAATCGCCACAATGATCAAATTAATGCTATAATTTTAGTAATATAAAGCACAAACTTTTTATTGGCGTACATAGGTAAAAATCGTACATTCCTAAAAGGTATATTTTTTATTCAGATAAAAATCAATGATAAATTTGATTATCCAAAAGTATTGAAAGTTCAGACCGCACTACAGTATAGCCTTCTAACATTTTCAATCTAACTTATAAATGCATAACGTAATCAATACTTCTTTTAGACTTAAATTCATATATTTAGTAAATTTGAAACTTCTGGTAACCAAAACTCAATCAGTTACACGATTACATACCAGCCATAACTGCCGTTCGAGCTTTAACATCCTACAAATATGATAAAATGTGTCCAGCTTCTTGTTCCAATAAACATCACTGAAAAACTTTATAAATAATATCCTGAGCTTCACTCTGATTAATTCTCTTAATTTTAACACTTTTCGACGGAGTTTAGAAGAAGTAGCTTCAGTTTAATCAAAACAAATCAAAAATGCAGAAAATCGAGCTAAAAAATCAAGTTGTTGACAGTCGATGTACTTTGATTCAGTGTTGTGATACTTGTGTCTAATGTTAGTTCCTCAAACATTCTTTTCATGACTTTATAGACAGACTGTACACGTTGGTCTCCGTCGATCGATATCGTTTTTCAATCGATAAGAATCGGTATGCCGTTTCAAATACAACATGTATTCAATGCAAGTGAAATTATGTCTTCCATCACTAAATTAAGATCGTGACGTCATGATACCTACACAAAATTTGGCACGCTCGGTCTCCATATAAATCGACGAACATTTTCCTTCTAACTAGATTTATTTCTGTGATAATAACAGTTTTCGAGGAAGTGTTTTTTTACTTTAACAATAAAACAATTTTAATTATTATCTAATAGTAAATATATTGAATAGACATAGTTGATATGTTTTTTAAGTAAAAGTGTGAATTAATTAAAATAATAATGTAAACCGATGTCGTGTTAGTAGTTTTTCGATACATTTAAATAGCAATATTATAAATTAATATGGCCGCTCGATGTGACATAAACAATGTTAAAGTTTGATGTTTATTTGTGTTTTGACTTACTAATTCGATTATTTACATCAAAATGGTATATTGTTTTGCTTGGCTGATTGCAAAAATGAATGGTATCACGGATGTGACTTCACATTCCACAGGTCACCTGTTTTCCTTATTTATTAAACAGTGATGAAATAGGGTGTCTACGAACAAGAAACAAAACCATATCAAAGAGGCTTTGATTTAAATTAATATTCATACGTTTATATTGTAAACATTTATACGTTTTACTTACGCTACCCGCCATTCTGCAAAATTAACTTGCTTAACATTAGGGTAAAAATGTTTATTAATAAGTTATGCACTGCGAAATTGATATCATAAATTCTCAAGAATCTTGAATATTTTCACGGTAGGTACAAAGTTATTTGGAAAATGAAAAACGAGAACTAACTTATTTATGTTTTGGAAAATATCTAAATGGCCTACACATTAATTTGAATAAATATTTATAAAGTAATAATTTTATTATGCTGACCATGACGAAATTGCTCTTATGTTTCTGGGATCCCAAAGGATAAAAGTCTAACTGAAAAATGGAGAATAATAATACCAGGCAAAGTGACAAAATGATCCGTTGTATTCTAATACAATTAATAGGAAAAAAAAAACATTTCTATCATTTAATTGATTTATACACTAAAGATGATTATAACATTTATATACTTGTTTTATTTCCTACTAAATAAATATCTTTACCGATAAATAAAAACTAATTTATCGGTTAAATTTCTAACATCATCATTCATAATATCTGTAAAAATTTATAAAATTCTATCTGTAAATGTTTAAATAAGGTCATGTAACATTATTAAATATTACCTATTTATGAAATTATTAAAAACGCGTGGACATCCTACAAAACTACTAAGACAGAGACGAAGAGTTACTAATTTACTCTCTCACTCTGCCCGTTTTTAATGAAACACTGCACAATCCAGTTTAATTTGACATTCGTGGTCAACAGTTGGTTACTTAAAATAAGCCAAGTTATGTTGTGATTACAGAGGTGCTCTCAATGGGGAATAGTGGAATAGCCTTTGGGACTAGCTCTACTTGACATAAATGCCCATTGATAATACCACACCCACCACCCATATGCTGCCCATATAGTTGGTTGCCGCCCATTATTTCACATTCCAATATTTTTTAACAACTGATTGAAGGAAAACTAATTTTGATAAAGAAGAACTTTTTCATCTATTGCTTTGTTGATAAAGGGTAGAGCCAGTTTTTGTAAATATATATGTAAAACTTGTTTCGATGAAATTTCGATGTTTTTGGTAATATCAATTAATTTAAATTAATATTAATATTATCAAATAATGCATTGGTCTTGCGTGAGGCCGTGATTGATGATTGGTTTTGTTAACATCGATGTTAAGACATTGATTTTTTTGCTTAAAACATCATTGATTATCAAATATCGATGTTCATCAATCATCCCTATTTTGAAATATGAAATAAAGAAGAGTTAAGTTAGAATCTCCGTCACGAAAGAAGTCCCACGACATTATAAAATCGAAATCATTTTGATACAAGGGACTTTTTTCGTGTGATGCACTTTAGTTAGTTTAGCATAAGTCATCACCAGTGGTCGGAATTAGGTAGAGTTATTCATGTACTTACACTGATTTCATACAGCGAAAGAATAAAGTGGATATGCCTCGAATCCCGAGATTAATTTTAAAGAGCAGAAAAATTCCCGTGATTTTTTAAATAAAAAGTTATTTACTTTTACACAATTTAAACTACTGCACGCACAACGTTGCCAAACTTACATCAATGACATCGGATGTCCAAAGTTGCAAAATATCAATACGCGCGATGTTGCCACGAAGGTCCAATCAATATCAACATTTCGATGCAAGTACATAAATAACTCTACCTAATTCCGACCTCTGGTCATCACTCACACATACGAAGCTTTCCGACACCGACAAAAGGAATCTTCTTGAACCTTTACACCTTCAATGAAAAACAAAAGCAGCAAGCAGTTAGTATCGTTGTGGCGACTGATACATAGCGACATCTTATTCATCGCAGTAACATCGCCACAACAATCGATAGCGAGAAGACAAGCATCGTCACAGCCATCGATAGCAAGACGAACTGCAATAAGTTTCAACAGCAAGTAACGAGATGGCGCTGTACCAATACAAACAGCATAAATTAATAACTACAAGACATTTAGAACAAAAGAAACCTACATCACACAGAATAAGTTTAATTACCAATTAACATAAATAGAACGTCCAACCTACATCGGTTGGACCGCGGTCCCCGGGCTAACAACACCTAGCTCGGAGGGAGACAATTATCCTTTAGTCTCCCTGACCAGTTGTCTCCATCACCACACCAGGGACACCACACCTTCAATCCAAGGGTTCCTAAAATCGTAATCGTCTAACGGGTAACTTATCTATTTTTGTTTTCAATATAACCTATAAAATCGTAACTGAAGTACATTATTTTCAATGACTAAAGTACGTTATCGGTTAAATTAATTCAAAAGTACAAGTTTACTGGGCAAAGAAATAATAAGACAAATAAATAATTTATCATACTTGTGTTTTCGATTCCGAAGTTACACAATAATTTATCCAAACACTGTATACAAAATTATTTTTCCGAAGTTATTAATTACAAAATAAAGCAACTTAAATTCACGTATTTCACTTTCTCTTCACACTTGTCTTAGTGTCACCAGAGTCACGCGAGAGTCTCGTGCGAGAGAACGAGCCCAACGAGCATAAAGTAACTTATAGGGCACCAAAGAGGGCTGAAGTTGACAGATTTATTTTTAACTTCCTTGGAAAATGCAAGCAAAGAAAAATCAATTTTTTGGTCCAGTTACTATCGGTTACTCCAGTTACGAGTGCAACCGGTGACATCTAGTGTAAAATAGTTGAACTTGATTTACGAGATCATCTAGCTAGTATATCTAGAGCACGTTAGATGACCCTAAGAATATATTGATATTTTATTCATAAACACCGATGTTTGGCTAGCAAACATCGATGTGCCGATATTATCAAAATTAAAACATCGATGTTTTCTAGCTTAATATCGATGTTTATTCAATATCGATGAATATCTACATCCCTAGGGTACAGAATAAACACTAGTTCTCTTATTGGTCTGTGAGAATAAACTGGAATAAACAGATTTGAAATTAATGTTTGTCTTGCACGTTTAAAGTTATGTCTCAATATATTGACTGTAAAGTGAAGAATGAATAGAATTTTGTTCTGATAGCATCAAAAGAATAATCATTGCTATCATGGAGCGACTAAATTTGGGCTTTCTTTTGATATCACTTTGCGTGTTTCTTTGGGGTGTGGCCGGTCAATATGAGTGGCAAATTAGAGACGCTTTTGATGAAATAAGAGGTAAAATGGATAAAGTTTCAGCCGATAACTGCTACATAACACATCTCGATGATCTGTACTTGCCAGAGGATTCGGTGTCGCATCACCCAGACGTGAAAGAGATTAACATAAATCCAGTGTTTCCTAACCGCACAAAGTTACTTCATTTGCATAATATGGCTATGAATCGAGCCTTTTTCTGGAGTTACATATTACAGTCGAGATTTATACGACCGGCTATCAATGATACTTATGATCCAGGTATGATGTATTACTTTCTTTCATCGGTTGCTGATGTTGCAGCTAATCCATACATAAACGCTAGTGCTATATACTTTTCTCCAAATATGTCATACACTTCATCCTACAGAGGGTTCTTTAATAAAACTTTACCCAGATTTGCACCAAGAGCATTCAGGGCTGATGACTTTAATGACCCTGTACATCTTCAAAAAATTTCAACGCTGAATACTTTTCACATAGAAGATTTAGGTGCATTTGATCCTGGAAGTTTGTCTAAGGATTATACATCAGATTTTTATAGAATAAATGAATGGTACCAACTCTGGTTGCCTGATAAGGTAGAAAAGAGACATGACACAAAAACAACATATCAAGTAGAAATACGATATGCAAATAATACCAATGAAACATTTACTTTTCATGGTCCACCTGGTAATGATGAAGTAAGTAACTTATATATATTTGCTTTACATTGATTTTTAAATTTTTTGTGCCAGTATGTATGTATGTAAGTATGTATGTAGTTTATCTATTCCCTCATAAATCTGAAACTCATAAATTGGGACAAATGAGGTATTATTAGTAGTGTCTTAGTTGTCTGTGTGCTATAGGCTATGTGATCTTACATTAAATTAGGTAAAAGCTAGAGAGCATAAAATAAGAAACTAAAAAAAATATATTTAGTCATTCCTTGTAAGGTATCAAATAAAAGAGTTTAATTAACACAGTTAAAATATATTTGTATTGATAGTTTTGCTTGTAATTTTGTTAAATACTCCTGAAATTTAATAAAAAAAATAAGTTAATAACTAAAATTCAACTACAGTCAATAATCACACTCTAAAAAGTTTGAACATAGAAATTTATTTAATAGCTATATTATAATAGCGACGACAAAGAGCATAGTCATATACCACCGATCATAATAAAACAAACCATTGTGGTGTTTAAGCAAAAATGCAAGCAAAACATATAAATATATTTGAAATGTGCTAATTAAGCCCTTTCAAAAATCAAATTCAATTGTTACCACAACAGTTTGTTTTGTTAAGTTAGGTAGCATACGAGTATGTTGTCTGTTGGTCATTGCTATTTTAATATAGTTATAAAATAAATTTCTTGTTTCAAACTTTTTAGAGTGTGATTTTTATAACTTTGAACATGTTATAACAAAATCTAATCAAATAAAATAAAAAGGTTTAAAATTTTTTGAAAATCTATATACTACTAACAAATAAATTGCCAAAAAGTACTATTGTCTCTGATAATGTAAAATAATTAAAAAATAGTCTGAACCTATTTGAAACATATAAACTCATAGATACAGATAGAAACATATCAGTGTTTTCAATATCATGCCTCAGATAATACAATCATTCAGAGTATATTTTATTGTTGTTACCATTTTCTTTTGCAGACACCAGGCCCTGTGAATTGGACTCGGCCATACTTTGACTGTGGACGTTTGAACAAATGGCTCGTCGGGGCAGTGTCGCCAGTTGCAGATATTTACCCTCGACATACCCAGTTTAGACACATTGAATACCCGACGTGAGTATTAAAAAAATTGAAGTCACAAATATTTTACAATTTCATGTAAAGGTCTATGAATATGTATACTGTGAAGTCCCATTGCTGGGTAAACCTGAGTGTCAGTGGGGTAAAGAGGAATTATATTGTTTGAAAAGGTAATTTTAAATTCTATTAACATATTTTTTCATTAACAAAAAGAATATCAATATAACAATTCTTTGAAATATTAATTAGATCATGAACATGTGACATTTTCATCATAGTTCAAAGTCAAATGATTTGATGAAATTTTTGCTTTCTCTTTATGGTTTATGGTCCCCTATGTGTTTTCTTTAAGAACTATTTTTAGTAATTTTTCTTTACATCAGGTACACGGCAGCTGTGGTAATGGAGATGGACTACGACAGGATAGATATAAATCAGTGTCCCCCTAGTCAGGGCAACGACAGACCTAATAGATTTGCTTCAACAGCGAGATGTAAAATTGAAACAACTGAAGTAAGGATATTTTACTTTTTTACGTGGCGTAAGTGAAGCGAGTTTCGTAATGACATAGGAATAGAATATCTGAGGTACAGTCGGCCAAGAAAGTGGTCTACCACCCTAAGGTTGAATTTCGCGTGTTACGTCAACTAACAACAAGGTTGATTTTCCGTAGCATTAATTTTTTGACACGTCAAGTACAAGTCATTATTGCTATCTTCATCATTTTGATGTAACCTTTGACAGTAATTATCTATACCTATAATAAAAATGTAACAAGGTTACATTTGTAAGATATTTTGGAAAAAAATATATGGACAGCCTTCATAAGACTAATAGAAGCCAAAAATATTTTTTTTTCTGTCTGTCTGTTTGTATGTTTAAATACTTTAGAGTTAGAATATCGTAAATAAAGTCTTATAGTCTACAAATATCCTACATTAGAATGTAGATTAATTATATTTTAATACAAATAAAAAAAATCATTAGGTAGTGAAATGCTAAGAGTAAGAAGCTATGCGTGTTATAGGTCTGAATATACTGAGATAACGGATAACAGAAATGAATAGCGACGAAAAACATATTGCGCCGATCCATAGCTTAGTGCGAGACAAGGGCTAAAACTAGAAGAGATAGTGAAAATGCTAATTCTTTGGTTGTTAAAAAATATATACAATTCTTTTATAAAATTATAATTCTTAAAATCTTGTGTAGCCACCATCTGCCTCTATAACAGCTTGGAGACGTTCCCTCATCGAGCCCACCAGTCTTGAGCAGATATCAGACCCACGTGTTTCCTCCCAAACCTCATTGCAGTGCCCTTGTAGTGCTTCTGCTGTTCGTTCATCACGGTTACACCATCTCTGAACCATAAGACCCCACATATTTTCAATAGGGTTGAGATCTGGCGATTTTGCAGGCCATGGTATCAAGTTTATTTCCGGATGTGCATCAAACCAAGCACGTGTTACCGTTGCTTTATGTAAGGGACAGTTATCCTGTAAATAATTAAATTGACGCATTTCATTTTCTGGATAAACGTTCCGGACGGATGGCAACATAGCATTTTGGAGAACATCAACATTTTTCTCGTCACAGAAAACAGTGTTACTCCAATCAAAATCCAAATATTCTATGGCGAAATTTAATCTGGCCATTCTATGAGCGTCAGTCATATAAATTTTCTTTGCATAACGCCTGTGATGTAAGCCCATGTAATGTAAATGGTTTCTAATGGTTTGGAGAGTCACGTCATATATGTCGGCAAAATAACGCGTTGGTATAAAGCCAGATTCCTCATAACTCCGTCTCATGAAGACTCGCTGAGTATCTGATATTTCAGGTCTACGACCGCTACGACTCCGAGCGTTAAAATTCCCCTCCTCGCTTTCTCGTCTTATCCAAAGACGGACAGCTTGTCTCTATAATAAAAAATAAAATATGAACAGAAAAAATAAAAAAAAAAATTTACACTCGGACTTGTTCTGAGATTTTGCATTAAACTCACGTCAGACATAATAATACTTACCGACACATTTAATTCTCAAGAAATCTCACTTATATTCAAACCATCATTGTGTAATGCGATTATTTGTGCTCTTTCGTTAATGGATAAATTTCGGGCCATTGTAGTGTAAATTAATTAGGAAAATACCTACGGAAAATGCCGAGAAAATATTTGACATGAATTGTCAAGTGATATATTCTTTTTCAGTAAAAGAGTTTTCGTAACAAAATAGTTCCCACTTTGAAGCGACCTACTTAAATTTTAAATTTATGAAATATTGTGAAGACTATTTGTTGTTGCAAATTATTATCTAATGCATAGGCTGCAAAGGTCAAAATAACATTTGTGCTCTACGACAACACATCAGCATTGTGCATCTCTTTATTGTTTGTATGCAATTTTAAGATTCGCCTTCAGCGATGCTTTAAAGACACGGGAAATGTTGTCAAAACTGGTAGACCACTTTCTTGGCCGACCGTACATATGTATCAATCAATCTTGTTTTGTATTTTTATACAAAAATGAAATCAACAGAGTTTCTAAACTAAACAATGAGAATTCGGGCACATTAGTGAATTCGAATTCAAGTTCGGATTTAAACAGAATCGCTCTGCTGAATTGAAAAAAGTATAAAATCTCAGCCAATTATTCTGTATAACTAAAGTTTTCATATTTCTCTCAGTTCTAAGTTCTAGTTTTATAAAATTGATCATTAAGAAGTATCCGTCCTTATATAATCAACTCCCACCTAAAACTCCCTGTTCTGCGTCTTTGCAAATTTATTAAAAACAATATCAAATTATAAAAATAAGTGTTGCAAAATACTCTTTTATGTATTTAAATATCATAGTTATAGTGTTATTTGCTTTTGTGTTGTCCTTTTATGTATTTAAGTTATCATACTTATAGTGAAATTTGCTCTTGTGTTTGTGAAAGAACAATCTCAAGGAAGTATGGTTAATTATAACTACCGTTCAGTCTCTTTTACAGACGTTTAAGACCTTCCTAATAATTTTAAAGTGGAAAGTTTTGTTTGTTTGCAACAAATAGGCTATGAAACTACTGGACGGATTTAAAAGAAAAAACAGCAAATAACAATGAAAATGGAAGAAAAAATTTGTATAGGGAATTAAAATGTTACCATAGTAACCATTTAATACTATTCAATGCGTCATTTTAAATAAATCCTTGTCATGATATGAATCGATATTCAAATAAACGCCCGACCACGCGGGCGAAGCTCTTGGTGGAAAGCAAGTACAATATAATCCTAATGAGCTTTATCTTAATATAGATCTGTTTTGCATAGACCCAAAAATTGGAAAATTCGTCAGTCCTGTTACATCCTGGGTTGCTCAGTGGTTAGAGCAGTCTCACGGATTGCGAATAGTCTGAGTTTGAGTCCCATCTCAGAGTGCCAGGGACAAAGTGATTTTATAAGCATTTTTCATTTATAATGATAAATTGTCATTAATCATTTAATTTTGGATTATTGTTTTTCTGTAACAATCCGAACTCGAATTAAAATTCACTCAGGTATCCGAATCATGTCAAAAGCGGCATCCGCTCAACCTTGAATTGGTAATAATGTTCGACGATCCTTTTCGCAAGTTGCTTAGCAACAATGATCCGCGGCGTTTATCCACTAATAATAAAGACGTAAAGCCATTGTTTTGTCTTGTTTCGTATCGAATGTAACTTAACTCTGACAATGAGTTAGCACCAGGTGGAATTTTATTACAAATAACACTTAACCTGGGAGGGTTAATATCATTCAAAAATGTACTCTATGTGTGATTATTATGATAAGTACAAATATATTATACAAATGTTTGATATTATTATTTACTAGCTGTTTTATCAAGACTTCGCCAGTTTAAATTATATCCTATGTCACCCGAGTATGATGTAGCTTTTAGTAGGTGAAATATTTTTTAAAATCGGTTCAGCTTTTTTGGAATCAATAATACAATCTCTTTTCTTTACCTATACAGTAAACATTAACCTATACTAATCTTCTAAACAGGTTGTCTATTTGTAAGCTATAATCTTCGGAAATACTGGTCCGATCATGATAATTCTACATCATTCAAGAAGGAAGCTAAATCATACATGAGTGACATAGGCTTTAATTCACGCTGGAAAATAGCTACTTTGCAATTAAATAGTTGTTATTATTTCTACTTGATTATTATTATAAATTTTGTGAATATTGCATTAACAGTGATAATTCAATATTTGCCCTAAACTTACTTAGAACCAGGTTCATCTGACCTGGTGTTTTCTAAGTCATATAAATAGGTATGCAAGTAGTTGCTCAGTTGAGCGAGCGGTCTTCCTACTGAGCTAACGATAGTGGCGAATGAAATATTAAGATAAATATTTCCACTTTAGTTATCGAACCATTGATCTATTATTATATTTCAGTGCGAGCCCATACATGGCTGGGGTTTCCGTCGTGGTGGGTACCAGTGCCGATGCGCGCCTGGTTACAGATTGCCGAGTATTGTGAGGCGACCTTACCTCGGAGAAATCATAGAGCGGGCCACTTCAGATCAATACTACAATAACTTCGACTGCTTGAAGATCGGCTGTAAGTATTATTGTTATCGTCAGGTAATAACCAGAATAATAAAATATTCGTGCTAATGCGTTTTTGGGAAGTGACAAAAGTTAGCAGAATGGCTTAATGTGTATTATGAAGAATAAAGACATTTTCATTTCATTTCATTCACTACTGCAAGCTCATTCACATTGGTCAATAGTGCCCGCATGCAGATGCAGATATCCATTCTATATATGGGACTCCTTCTGTGGATCTACTCTAGAGCTAGTCAAGAAACAGGGTATTACCATTAATACTCAGTGATGTTCCTTATCATGGGATAAAGCAATGATACGGTGTCAACTAGTGGGCCATTAATCTGCGACGGTTGGGACGGGTTCGGAGTGCATCTCAGGAACATCTAGAGACACATTCCCTAGAAAGGGCATGGGCGTGCTATGTCAGTCAGCGCGCAAACCAGCCGACTGACCCCATCAAAGACTGGAAATGGAAATGTGAGCAATTGTCAACCCTCACCCGTTCAGTTGGATGGACCTACAAGTGGATCCCTCCTTCCGTACAGCTCCGCCGGTATCTAGCCCGACCACAACCACCACCTCGCAGTCCTCACTACCCGCCAATCACAGGCCTCCCCGGAAGACGTATTCCTGGACAAAAACCAGGTCGGCGGTTAGCCCCTCCGGAAGTCCCTCCTCCCGATAAATAGACTCGCCCTCGGCGATTTGTCGGAAAGGTCACCAATTTGTCACATGTGCGGCGAGGTAAGGGGTACACCTTCACGCGGAAGAATCCACAAAGGCCGTTTTCGAGGTACCTTCGCCTCCAATCTAGAATAGAATGCCGCCTTCAAGTAAATCCTCTCAGGCCCCCTCATTTGGATCTCGTCCCCGTCCGCAGCTCTGCTAGTGTTAGGCCCGACCACAAGCCTGAAATGGGCGTTATCAAGCCTTGTCACTATCGTCGCTGTTTCTAGTCATGGGACCGCTTAGTCCGATCACCACTTACACCTACCCTTTGTGCATGGCAACCAGACCCAGCATCCATTGGAAGGATCCAAATAAATATGTCTCCAAGGATTGCGGTCCAAAAGTTAGGCTTTTTATTGCACTATATAATAAACAATTTACAGAACATTTTACCACATTTCAAGAGCTTCGATCCGTTTTTTCAGCAGCACAGAGGAATGTGGTGAACACGAGAGCCTTAACAAGTCATGTTTTTGTAGCTTTGGTAATATTCCGATTTATTATTATATCCCTCCATATTTTCCTCGGCACGTCCATAGCTGACCTAGAAATTGCCATTCGCCGCTTGATCTCGTCTATGCAGCCGCCATTGTTTGATATCAGTGCCTCTAGGTATATGACTGAACTACCTCACTATTCGCTATTTGTGTAACCTGAGTCGAAATGTTTGCACGGTCAATAATCATCATTTTGGTCTTACTGCGATTTATTTTAAGACCAAAGACTAGACTGGCCTGTTCCATTCTGTGCAGAAGTTTTTCCTTGTGTTGAGCATGATTTGCGAAGAGTGTGGTATCGTCCGTGTCCGCGCAGATTTGATATTTTTTCTCCTCCAATGGTGACACCATCGTTCCAACCTTTAAGAGCAATTATGAGTTATGTGTAAGTGTTAAACAGTAGTGGGGAATTTAACTATAAATGCTCAATTCAGAAACCGAATGTGAGACTTATATAAGAAAGAATTATGCAGTAGAGGATGATGCAAAGATTCTATTTATTTTCGTTACTAAGGGATCCAACGTTTGCCGGTTAAATGGGAGAAGGCGCATCCCTTTATCCGCGCGCTGTACATGGACGAGTATCTCGAGTACGTGAACGCAACCAGCGGTGCGGACGCGTTGCACACTGAAAAACTCAATGTGTACGAAGTGCTCAACTTTATACGAGGAGTACAACCCGGAAACTGTTCCAAGTAAGTGTTACAAACAAAATGTTGTGTATGGTAACGCAACTTAATTCGTCCTACCGACCTTTCCTTAATTTGGAATATATAAATTGAGCGTAGCTGTCTGTTGCATCTCTGCCGCCATAGCGAATGGTCGATCCCGTATTCCAACAAATACTTGGAAAATCAACGCTGTGTGAAGGGGCAGTAGAAAGATAACGAAATTATCCCTGAACAACGCGGGAGACTTACGACCAGCGGCTTTATTACCCTGGGCTATCGAAGAAACTAAAACTAAGTACAAACTCCTGTCGTCCTGTCCTGTCGCACACAAAGTGTAATATTTGATGAGTAGGTAAAAGTAGTTTCGGAAATAAAATTAGATGTCGCTATGTACTTCGAAAATTTTTTGATGTGTTCAATCATATGGTTTCGATAATTAATTAATAAGTCATCGCCTATGTTACGTGTTCTACGTGTGTGTCAAGACAAAAACAAACTTTTTTTTTCAATAAGAAATTTTAGTTATTTATTATGTTGATGTGTAAAGGAACGAACTGTTAGTTTTCTTTTTTTAAGTACTTCCTCTTTCGGTTGAGCAAAATATACAGGAACTAGGGAATCGTTTATTTTGATACCCATTTACATCATGATATGGATATAATTAAAATTACAAATTACCTTCCCTTCCGTTTCGTTCCTTTGTTTGCTGTTTTTCGGGATAAGACATATCTTATGTTCACCGCATATAATGTAGCTTCCCGTAGATGAAAGAGTTTTTAAATTCGGTCCAGTAGTTTCGGAGACTATCCATTGCAAACATACAAACAATCAATTCCCTCCCCGTTCACTGGAGGCCATGTCGAATTAAACTCAGTGTACCTAGTCTAGCCATAAGTTCTGTTACAAAGAAAATATCCGATAATTTCTAAAAACATATTTTTATTTTAAAGTTTTATATGTGATTATGTAGAGTGAAAAAGATATTCAAAGTGTCCACCCTTAGCTTTAACGCATGCTTTTAAATGGTCGGGCCATTCGTCGATGGATTTACGAATAGTTTCCATTGGAAACTTGGTCACTGCTGCCTCCAAAGATTTCTCGAGCGACTCAATATTTGGGTGACGCTTAGAGCAGGTCATGTTCTCTATCACAGACCACAATTTATAGTCCACAGGGCTTAAGTCAGGTCTAACCAAAGTCAATCATCAGCCTTTATGAAGTCTGGAACATTTTACTCAAGCCAAATTTGGGGAGTGCGTGCCTTATGACCGGGGGATGAATCCTATTGGAATGTCCACACTTCGTTTTTGAATAAGGTGTTGTTGAGAGGTTTAACTACCTACCTCTTCTAACACGTTATCTTGATACACTTTGGCTGAATCTTTCACTCCTTTTTAGTAAAAATGGAGTTTTGCAACCCCTTGGTAGGATACACCACACCAAACCATGATGTATGTTGGATGATGGCCTCGCTGAACTTTGGCCATTACCTCGGAAGTTTCTTTAAGTCTTGTTTGATAATTCGAGAAAGTGTCGTCGGTGGGATTCTCATTTCTCTGGAAAGGATTTTCTGCTTCCTTATAGGATTTCGGCGAATTCTGGCCTTGACTGCCTGGCCTGGCCTGGTTTGTTCGAATAGACTGCGGTCGGCCGGATCTCTCACGGTCATCAACAGACGTGGTTTTAGTGTACCTTTGGATGGTACGATACACAAACATTCGGCTAATCTCTAGCTTTTTCAATGTATCAAAAATGCCAGCTGGCTACCTACCTCCTTACCTACTTTGTACAGTGCAATTACTGCAATCCTATTCTCTTTAGTGCCCCACTCCATTTTCAAAACAAATAATTTCTTAACAAAAAACATACAATAATATAATTATTAGCCGTTGGAAACAAATTCGAGAGCACACCTAACCTGAAACCTGTAGGCGACATACTTGGGTGTAAATAAATGTAATTCAGTTTTGAGTTGGACAGTTTCATTATAAAGACGACACATACTTACGATGGGGTTAAAGTGTTATTTTTATAGGTTTTATAGACAAGGGGAGAATATGTAAGAAAAATAAAACATGTTTTTATTTTCTTTGTTTTCCTGGTCGCGCCGAGAACTTTTCAAACCACCGTATATTATGATTGATTTCTGATAGTTCTATATAAAATGTGTATCTTCGCAGATACAATCCAACTGATTTATTTTTAAATGGAGACATCGCTTTCGGTTTTGAAGAGCAGTTGGAGAACCAAGCCAAGGTGGCAGTTAGATTGGCAAATTTCATAAGCGCCTTTCTCCAGGTAATTTATCGTTGTTAAATTATCTTATGAATTACTTACTAAACGCATCGTGCGTAGGTCCATCTTGCAGTTTTTTTAGCTTCTCTTGGTAGTTAAATTTGGCATTTCGTAACCTGATGTACTCTGCGTAGGTACCAGGCTGGACGCTTTTTTTAAAGTATTATTAACATTCATAACTGCAAAATATAATGATAATTAAAGTTTATATAATTTTTAGATCGCAGATCCACAAGAAGTGTTCAGTGGAACTCGTGTAGCAGATAAACCGCTTACTGAGGATCAAATGTTCGGTGAAACACTGGCTATGGTGCTCGGAGACTCAAAAATATGGTCAGCAGGTAAGAGTAACATAATGAACCTTGTGACAGTGTGTGAGGGTTGGTTTTTAATAGAGTTTTCTTTGCAGGAACATTTTGGGATAGAAACAAATTTACAAATCGAACATTTTTCGGACCATTCGCTTATAAGACTGAATTGAATACAAGGAAATTCAAACTCGAGGATTTGGCCCGATTGAACACAACTGGTAAGTATGATTAATATTTAATGTTTTTAGATACACACGAAAGTGCATTTATTGTTATAGTCATAAGTTGGTACATATCGACGCTGGAAAGCAAACACGTAGTAGCCTGCAAAACGAAAATGGATATTTAGAATGGAAAATCTTTATATTTTTTCAAGAAAAAATATCTTCTTTCCGTATAAATTGACTAAGGAACATCTAATTTGTTACCATGGACGTTTATAGGAATTATTTATCGAAAAAAAAAAGTTTTTCTGCTCTAAAGAACAATTTTGGTTTTGCGAGTTACTACGTGTTTTGCTTTCTAACGTCGATATGTTCTTATAAATAAAATAGTCTCAATATTTATTTATTTATTTATTATCAACAACATTTACATCGATCATTACAGCATATAGCCAATGCGATCTAGTAAACCTTAACAATTTTTCTTAGACCTTACTTTTTTTATATATAAAATAAGCTTTAATTAATATATATTGTTCTTAATTAAGTTTATATGTACAAAAAAATATTGCAGTTTTTGTAAACTCACTCAGAGCACAATCAAATATGTCAATTTCATTAGCTATCATATTAATGATAGATATAGCGCGTGTGAACGGTGCCTCCTTTAACAAGTTTGTGCGCGCAGATGGAACCATCAGAAGTGGCACCTGCCTCCTGCGCCATATATACCGGTCTGGTACCCTGAGACATATCCAACCAAGTATATCCGCGTTATGTATCTTCCCTCTGAGTATTTTAAATATATATGATACTAATGCGACATTCCTCCTAACCGTGAGTTCGTTATATCCTGTCATTCCTAACACAAACAAAGTAGGGTAGTTTAATGGATAAAACGGATATACGCCATATAGCTTCATGTATAGATACCTAGCAAATTTATTTTGGACTCGTTCCAACATGAGAGTATATTTCTTTTCAAAAGGCGCCCATACTATTGCGTTGTGCTCAAGCTGACTCCTAACCAAGGCGTTATATAACGAAATTACTGCTTTAATATTTGTAAAACCTCGTGCGAAACGCAACACTAAACCCAAGTTACGATAAGCCTTCCTACATATGCTATTAATATGATCTTTAAAGTAGAGTCCCGATGTAAAATGGACCCCTAAATCTTTAACCTCGGTCACTCTTGTCATATCTTCCCCGTTGACCTTATAAGTATGCAGCATGGGATTACGAGCTCTCGAAAAAGTCATCGCGACGCATTTCGAGGTATTGAATTGTAATTTGTTTTTCAAGCTCCAAGCTACTATACTGTCTATATCTGTTTGTAGTTTCTTACAGTCTTCTAGATCATTAATAGGAAGATATACCTTAAGGTCGTCTGCAAACAATAAGCATTTCGCATATTTAACAACAGTCGGAAGGTCATTTATCATCAATACGAACTCCAACGGTCCGAGATTGCTGCCCTGACTTACTCCGGATCTTGTGTAATAAGGATCTGACCGATATCCCGTATAATCCTTATATATCATATTGCTGCCTGTCTCTCATATAGCTCGCAAAAAAATTTAACAGGTGTGGTGTGAAGCCGACACTCGCTAACTTTAGAAGTAACACGTCGTTATGAACTAAGTCAAAAGCTTTTTTAAAATCAAAGTATGCGACGTCAACTTGCAATCCTCTATCCACTGTTGGTATGAGATCAGCCATATAAGTAATAAGATTACTAGCGGTGCTCTTTGCTGTGCGGAACCCGTGCTGGACATCAGTCAGTTGTGCACTTATTTGCGAGTATAAGCTTGCGTGAATGGTCGATTCGAATACCTTTGCGGGCGTTGATAATACCGCTACCGGCCTGTAGCCCTCGACACTAGAAGACGTTGATGATCCGCCCTTGGGTACCGGCACCACTCGCGTTATCTTCCATTTTGCCGGAAACGTTTCGTTATGCAGGCACCTATTAAATAAATGTAACAGTGGTTCCGCCAATATTTCTCGACAATCTTTAAACAAAAAAGGTGGAAGGCCATCCGGACCAGCTGAAGTTTTAGGCTTTAGTCGTTGAAGCGCTTTCTGTACGTCTCGCAGCTTTAAACAGTCTATGTGTACTCTCGCACCCGTATTTATGTCACCAGCCCTAATTATACTCATGTTTACATCTAATGACGGGGATTCCACTGTATAAATTGAGTGAAAGTACTCCGCAAACCTTACAGCACATTGTTCTCGAGTTAATGCTTCACCATCGTTCAAAATATTTCGAGGACCCCTACTGCACCTTTTCGATTTAATATAATTCCAAAATGTTTTGGGTTCCTTTAATAAATTATCTTGGACACGCTCTCTATACCGGTCATAAGCAACTCTCATGTTCCTTTTAAGTCTAGCCCTACACTCTGAAAACTTACTATAGTCATTTGGCGAGCCGCTCGTCTTATACTTCTTATGTAAACGTGCTTTAAATTTTAAGTCGTTTATTATTTCAACTGTATACCAGTCGGGATAGCTGCAATTTAATTTCATATTACTTGTATTTTTTCTGGGTACACAATTGTCTAGTACAGAATAAACTTTATCATAAAAAAAGGTTAAACTTTCCTCGACATTCAAATTTAGCATTGGAATCCAATCTATATTAGCCAACGACATATATAGCAGTGGAAAATTTGCTTTTTTAAAGTTCCAGTGAAATGCTGTATTGTCTCGTAAGTTCACCTGTTCTTCATCACAATAAGCGCCCCTGTTATGTCCCGTATGCCAGTCCAACCCAGGCGATTCTAAACCTAATAAGACGCTTACGGCTAGTGAAGGGTGTTGAGGGTCGGGGGGGAGTAATGGAGACACCGCACACACTCTGGCACTACTATTATTTCCCATTTTACTCAACACTAGATCTAAAATATGATTATTACAATTTACTATATCATTACTCTGAGTGAAATTACAATATGTCTTAAAATATTCATAATAATTTGAAACAGTAACTGAGCTGGAATACAAATTAAAATCTCCTACTACTAACACAGAACTATAGCTATCACAGTATTGTTCTATAATTCGAAACATTAGCATGTATTCATTTTCACAACTCTTTGGTGGTATATAGACTACACAGCATAAAAATAAAAATCTATTCCCAAGGTAAACAGTTGCGCTGACTAGTTCAAATAAATGAACATCTAAGTTTATATTACCGGGGATCGCCACTCGTCGCAACTCGAAGCGCGGTGCGGCCACTAAACACGCGCCGCCTTGTTTTCGCCCATCCGCTCGATCACATCTAATTATAGTGTAGCCTGGTGGGATTAGTTCTGCATCTCTGATAGAATCATTACAGCCTGTTTCCGTTATGGCGAATAGATCCGCTTCCGGTTAGATATCCCCTCATAAAATTTATCCAATTTGTACGTAGTCCTCTTACGTTTTGATAAAACACTTCAATAATTTTACTAGCTTTTTTCCGCGGTTTCGGTGCTTCTACGAAACCACACCCACTCACAAAATTCAATATTCAAAGGCCAATTTTCAGGAAGGCAGAGTTGATCGTATTTACTTTGAGGAACACCTATAATAAAAGAAGCATAATCTCTTTCTGTTTTATTTTTTCAATTTTCACTTGAACATTTTCCGTTTTATAAATATTTTTAACATAATTTTCTAACTTTTCAGCAGTGGTCTCTTTTTGCAATTTCCATACATGAAGATATTTCTTTTTTTCCGTCCCCTGTATTTCAGCCGTACCCAAACTCCCTCCTTTTTTTACTTCCCTGTTATATTTATATTTCTTTTTATTTATTACTGCAAATGCCTTTTTTTTTAGATAAATATCTTTAAGTGTGACTTTCTTTATTATTATTAGTCTATGGTTCTATTTAGGTAACTAAACTCTCTTTAAAAATTTATTTTGTTGTTTCCCTTCACAGAGGAATTGTACACCAACAAACCGTGGTTCCAATTCTTGAAACAGCGCTGGTCTACTAACTTTGATAGCCTCGAACAATACTTTCTCAAAATGAAGATCAGAGATGATGAACTCGGGAAATATTTGAAGCGATACGAGAGATATCCTACGTATTACAGGGCAGCTAATATAAAACACGGCCATTGGACAAGCCCTTACTATGATTGCAACGGGCATCTGAAACAGTGGGTTATTACGTACGCTGCCCCATTCTTTGGCTGGGATAGCGTAAAGGTCAAATTGGAGTTTAAGTGAGTTATTGTTTTTGTTAATATGTTTATTGCTGTGTGTAGTAGAATTTTAAGAGATTATCTTATTTTGCTCTAGAAATAAAAGTTGCCAGTATACAAAATATGCCATACATGTTCAGTCAACAGTACATCAGACTTGATTTTAAACCTTAACCAATTATTGTGGTAGCTGTGTTATGATATAAACAGATATTTGACCAGATTCCTAAGTGACACGATCAAAGGGCAGCTGTTAAAATAATTCCATTCTAACATTTCCCGAAATAATTGTAAATCAGTGAATTTTTTTAATAAATTTTTTCTATTTTCAGGGGAGTTGTTGCAGTAACCATGTCCCTGATGTCATTGGACATCAACCAGTGTCCGGATAAATTTTATGTACCAAACGTTTTCAAGAGTACAGACAAATGTGACAGGAGATCATCTTATGTAAGTACTCGAAAGTTATTCCAAAAATCCTTTCTTCCCTAGCCTCTATGTATCGAAGCGGGAATGACTAAGTGTTTGTTGAGCCGATCCGTCTAGTAATTTGTGTTATGATTAGTCTGTTAGTGATTTTTGCCTTTTATACACAAAAAAAAATTTATGAGTGCACCAATTTTAATATTGTCTTGGTTTAAAAATAGTAGGGGTTATGGATGGGTGCTAACGACTCTAGATACAGCCATATCCAACTTATCTTTCGAAGCACGGACGAACTCGAGCTAATCATATTTTTTGGTCACCCGTCTGAACACTGATGTTTACGAAAGTCGGTTAACCTTTACAGTTGTTGAGCGTACTCTCTTAACTACTATTCTTCTTTATTTCTTCGCCCCCATATCTTTATTAATATTATCGAGAGGAAAGATTTGATTTTCGTTTTGCAATGGCTTAACTTAAAACTTCCGGACGGATTTTGATAATTCTCTCACTCATCAGGAGCCAATTAATGAGTAATATAGGCTTTTAAAAGCAGTGATCGGAATGGGTAGCTGATTTTTGATACTTGCATTATAAATGCTTATAGAAGGATAACATGGATGAGACATTTTTCTGGAAAGTATTCTGAACCACCAACTGAATATTGTTTATGTTGGTGGTGACCTTATGGCTACCCGATTACGAATTGAAAACATGGTATTAAAACAATTTAATATTTATTTACCCTACTACTATTTACTCTTATTTTATTCTTTGAAATCAAAACATTTTTAAAGCTTATACTTAAATTTTGATACGAATAAGGGGCCATCCATAAATTACGTCACACTTTAAGGGGGAGGGAGGGAGTCGACGAAGTGTGACATTGTGTGACAAGGGGGTGGGAGGGTCCTAAATTTCACATTTCAAATCTGTTATAATCTTAGTGTTAAAACACGAACTTTAAACTATTACTTTACAAAAACCTTGCAAAATATGTGATATCCATTACACTAGGAGGGGGGAGTCTTACAAATGTGACTAGGACGGGGGGAGGGGCAAAAAAAATCATGAAAATCGTGTGACGTAATTTATGGATGATCCCTAAAGGAATGTCCATATTAATGTATACGTTTCGTATCAATAAATCATTTCAATTTACCTAATCTGTTGGCTGATTATAAGGCGGTACTAAATTCGTTTATTATACGTTTATTATTTTGCACTAGTGCGTACCAATATTGGGGCGCGGTTTCGAGGCGGGCGGCTATAAATGCGAATGTCTACAAGGCTACGAGTATCCCTTCGAAGATCCTATTACATATTACGACGGACAAATAGTAGAGGCAGAATTCCAAAACATCATTATGGATAAGGAGACACGAATAGATATGTTCAAATGTAGACTAGCGGGCGCGGCGGCAATACAGAACAGTTTCGTTATTATACTGGGTGTTTTACTCATTCTTTTGAAAATTAGGTAAAATTGTGTAAGAAAATATTTTCGCTACTTAAATTAAAGAGTTGGGCAATATTTACCGTATAACTGGATCCCTGACTGATTGGGTTTTCTTCTTTTCTTATATTTTGCAGCTACTTTGCGTCATAATTCTGTATACTAATGATGATGTGAATAAATTCAAACTAATTTGAATTTTGGATTACCAATTTCTTTCTACAAGGATTATCTGCTTCTTAACTTTAATGGCACTTTGCGTCACCACAATACTGTCAACTTCACGTAGGAGACTATTACACGATTTAAATACATTCATTGAACCAAACAATTTTGTATTACCAATTCGATCTTTCTACATGGATTTACCAAAAACAACGTACAATCATTTAATCATATTTTCAAAAGAAACTTTAATGGGCTGTCGGGTTGATCATTTAGACTTAATTTTGATAGATCAATCAGGGATACAGTAACGCGGTAGAGCCGCAGCTCTATGTACACTAACACAAAAGAAATCATAAACAATCTTCATAGATATGATATCTTGCAAAAATCACAAAAAATACTTTAAATTTGCTAAGGGAATGAAATTGAGATTAAAATCATGCTCTGATTATTTTGATATTCGATTTAAAAATTATCGTGACAGTTTTTTTATTGACATATTCGTCATCTTAAGTCTATTGTTCAGTGAAATATTAGTTTATTTCATTAGTAACGACTAAATTAACTATTGTTTTTACTTATGTAAGAAAATTACTGGGCATTTGCTCTTATTTTTGACACCTGTCTCTTTTTGGGCATATTCTACATAAACTACAAATGTATATCTATATTTATTTTCAACAAACTTTCGAAATAGAATTTAGAATTTGCGACTGAATTAACTTTTTACACACTTTAATATTACAGACTTACACTCAATTGCATGAACGAACTTTAAGATTTAATGAGGACTTTAAACTCTATTGAACGTTTTTAATTTGATAATAAGTGTCGGATGTCGCTTCATCTAATGACAATTTTAATGGACGTTTGTGCAAGGTGGTGTTAGCCTAAAGTAATTAAGGATAGAATATTCCAAAAACTCCGTTAGTTTTAATGCAATCTGAGTTAACTATATTATCTCACTTATTATCTCATATTGGTTTTATTTTTAGTGTATATTAATATTTTTAGTGTATATTTTTATTCATGATAATTTAAGTAAAAGTGATTAAAAAATATACAACAAAAAAAAATCTAGAACCATTAAAGAATTATTAATTTCATCTGTTAAAATTATTTAGTGGTAGGTTCAGTAGCGGACTAACCTTGTTTGGGGCCCGGGGCGGCATTAGATTCGTACTTACAACTTTTTACAACTGGTGCAGAAACTTGATTTTGTGTTTACACCGCCTCCCCTGCTAAGATGCCTGCTAAAACCACAAAACTAAGAAAGATAAGGCAGTACAACCCCAATTTATGATTTGACCAAGGGAATTTTCAGCCATTTGGAGGCCCCCCAGGATAATAAGCCCGGAGTGGACCGCCCCCTCCGCCTCCCCCCTTAGTCCGCCACTGGGTAGGTTACTTTTTCAATTTACCAATCATATAAAATAACAAATGTAATTGTTACCAATAGCATAAACAATGCTATTTTGTAGTTTCAAAGTTTGGTTCTAGAATTTAAAGATAATACCGTAGTTTCTTTTTTTTATAATAGATAAGTTATATGAACTGATAATATCAAAATATGATTATTTAGTGTGTTTGATTATACCGAAAGTTGTGTATGTATATATTTTACTTAAAGTGGCAGCTATGGGTAAATTGTGCAGCTTTATGTATGTCTTTACTATTAAGATTTTTCTTTTTTTTTATATAGCTATGTATTTTTTTTAATCTTAGTCATTCCTCATTTTTTATACAATTGATATGTGTTAGTAAATGTAAAATTTCACTCAATGTACTGAACGAGTGGTAGGTAGAAAATTCTCGGAAGTTTAAATGCATAAAGATATCTTGACTTTGACACCTGTTTCTGAATTGAGAATTTATAGTTAAGCACATCTCAAACCGTACTTAAGCTATCTTAACCGTCTCTTAAACAGGTTTTGGTTTCTGATTTTATTTTTTTAATGATAAGTTGATAGCAGTTTGATAAAACTGAAAAATCTTTATACTTGTGACATGCAATACATGAATAAATGAATAACTATTGTTAAATTGGTTTTTGAGAATAATCAGTTCAGATTACTTAATTCAGGAAGCGGTCGTTAGAGTAGTTTGAAGCGGTGAAGAAACGGCTGAAGGGGAGTGAGATACTTTTTGCATTTAACCAGGATCTGATAATTATCTCTTATATTATTATTTTTTATAGAATCTCAAGGTTTACTTTTAACAGGGAATATTACTGTCCATTTATAAATGATTTTTTATATGTTATATTCCATAAATATAATTGAAGAACTTTACACACAATCAGTGTGTCTACTTTCACTTATAATCGTTTATCAATTACGTGTAGAACTGTGTTTTTGAGGTTTTTATCTGTTTTTGATATTATTAACATGTATACATATATATAAAGCACAATGTTTAACATGGCTTTAATTTACAAATAAATCACAAAAAATATTTTACAATTTTTATTTCTTTATATTTATATATATTTTGCAATTCAATTACAAAATTATGTTTACTATAATTATAACATTTTGATATCTTTATTTAAAAATAAGTGCCTACAGTATACACTTTTTAATACTTGGAGTACCTTCCAAATATTGTGAAGATTTGATATAGGTACTTAGGCAGTGTACTATTAGAACATTCGTAAGAAACAAATATGGAAAAGCATTTATTTTTTAATCTTACTTATGCTTTACGATGATTAATTGTAATGTACTGTAACGATAACGTCCACATTAGTGCCTTTTTTATGTAACTATGTAGTTAATATTTCTATGAAACATAAATAAAAATGTGAGAATTACATTATGTGTTGTTATTTCATTCTTTCTGTTCTATCCTAAAGAGGTTTATGCTCAGAAATGAATTGGTTTTCATAATGGAGATGACTTGCTTGGACTCTGCCAAGTGTTGTTGCCGTATCTTAATCATTTTTCGTGGTATTAATCCTGTCTGCCTGCATGGTGGCTGAAAATCACACGTCATGAACTATGTCTATGTAGGTAGTTCCCCATTTTACGTGTCTACCGACTGGACTAGACTATAGCGGATCCGTCGAAACAGTTCTGCGTGTTTCGTAGTTTTACCGTTTTCCGCACGGATTTAATCCATATTGTTTCAGTCTTGCGTATAGTGTAACTCGACAGAACTGAAAAAATAAGATTATAGACATATTTAAAATAAGTAGATTTTCGTTCTTAAGAATGTCATTGGGATTTTATGCAATCTCGACGATCTCCGTGACCGAGTGGCTCGTAAGTCGGCTTTAAGGTGTCTTAAGTAGGTTTGATTCGCGGTCGGCTCAATACTGAAGGGATTCTTTTTTCATTTTTTCTCGGATCTGAATGGTTGCAGTTCCTTTGTTGATTTCGGATTTCCATAACGCAAAAGTATAATCAAAGTGCTTTTATATGGTCAACAATGGCAATGACAAATAATATTACCAAATAATCTACAGCGTTGATTATATACCTGCCTTTATAATCGCACAGTAGCGGGTTATGCTTTTTACAAACTATTTCGTAAATACCTACATGGACCGTAAGTCTTTGTTGAAAATGTAACGAGTGCATTCAATTTAGTGCAATTGGTGCATTTTCTTTAGTGCAGTTGGTGTGTATTATAAGTGGTATGAAGTTCCTAAATGCACTATTCGTGTTGAATTCGAGTAGCTTAACATTGAATTCTTCGTGTACATACTTATCGTTTGTGAAGATGCTTCGAACGTATACGAGTGCTCCAACAAAACCAAAGTACACCGTGATATATATGAGCATGTAAATTATGACCAGTATTCGGAACAGGCCCATTCCAATATAAAGGCTGTCATGGGTAAGTTCTTGGTTCTGACAGCATTTTTGGACTTGCTTGTGATACTATTTTAAAAGCATTTTCAGAGTAGATGTGATTAAAATAATTTAAATGTAAAGTCTATTTGGAACAAATTATATTAGCTGTATTAATGACATTGACATAGTATTGTTGTTTGTTATGTCGTCACTATGAAGAGGTGTTTATTTATTTTATAGATTACAGAGCATCAGTTAAGAATACATCAAAGCTGTCAAAATACCTTCGTTGAATGTCAGCGTTGAAGGGGTTCAAAGTAAATGATACGTATAATATCGCTACCCATAGACTTTTGAATCGATGCCGTGAAGTAATATGGTGTGGGGCACCAACAAATACTAGTACCTTGTGGAAAAATATGTAGATGGTTTGCTATTACGAATCGCTGGCCTGGTATATTAGAATGGATGAAATTAATGTAAATATGAGGGTGATGGAGATGAATATCGATCGATGTAAAGTGAGTGTGTGATGTGATTATTGCTGACAGGGAAGAGTGGAAGAAGAGGACACACCGACCCCACATTGATAGAGAAAAGGGCAGGAAGCTAATGAGGACTGCGATACGTATCACTTTCTTTCGACGTTCGAGGCTTATATATTATATACTTATTATGATTGTTAATTTTCACAAGAAGCTTAAATCTCCTTGGTTTTTTGTATCGTCTAAGAAGTTTGTGGTTTTCCGTCTCCTCTAGGAACAATACACATATATCTATAGCACATGATTTGCCCTACCTACCCATTAAATATATTCACTTATTTTTATGATTAACATTTTTTGTCTGCTTAATATAATTTCATTTATTTTATTTATTCGTTTAAGTACCAAAGATATTTTGTTTGATTTATGTAATCAAACATGGGTGATTGTTGTAACGAAATAAACAATAAATTAACACTTTAATAATCTCTAAATATTTAATAAACTCGCAATAACCTTCATTTTAGTTCATAAAAGAGAATAAGTATTAGAGAATTATCTGTTCTGGCAACACTGACAAATGTCATGTCAATGTCAACAGCTGATTAAAGCATTGCTTTCAATTGCTTTGATACAAATGACGTCCTAAGTAGAGACGAAAATAGAGCAGTTTTCCTCCTCTGCAGTCTCAAATTCCACATAGATTTATTTTAATTTATTACAAGAGTTCATTCTACAATAAGTAAGTGATTTTTATATATAATTTAGTGTATTTTCACTTAAAAATTGCTTCGTTACGTGATCCTAACCTTGACATCTAACGAAAGGCCAGTATATATCTTATAATTAAATACACGAGATAATTTGCATAAACCTAACTTACTTATTTTAACAATATCATTTATTTTAAAGGTGATCCGTATTATTCCAAGCTATCAGCGTCAGTTTTGTGTGATCTTTTTACTTACAGAGCAAAATGAGTGCATTTGCAAAGAAATTCTTCAACCAGCTGAAAAGCAAAGAATTTAGAGATTATTTAATGAGGTAAGGGATGAATAAAATTTATTTTTATGTTTATACACATTTATATAATGTTATGTTATTAATTGAAATGTAAGTTAGTCTTTTTCAATAAATAAATATTTAATACTTATTGGTTAAGTTTATATAGAAAATAGATAAATTAATTAATCAATTTCATATAAATAATAAAAAAAAATAAATTTATTTCTTTAACATTTCAGACGTTGTTCAATTTTAACTTTAAACGAGGTTACTAAGGTCTTATTAATTAATGAATATTGCCTCTGTCTTCCAAGCTAGGTTACCTTGTAATTTGGAAGTCCACAGTTATGTAACAATCGCAACAATTTCATTTATTACATCTCTAAATTTACTGAACATGTTTTTAAAAATTAAAATGGAATATACCTATTTTCAGCACACATTTTTGGGGTCCAGTTGCAAATTGGGGAATTCCACTAGCAGCAATAGCTGACACTAGAAAAGACCCTAGTTTCATCAGTGGCAAAATGACATTTGGTATGATTTAAAATAAGTTGAAACTTTGATCAACAATTTAAGTAGGTACTTAATAAATTTGAATACCTGAGATTTAAATATTTCATTATTATTTTTAATAATATTTATGGTTATAAAAATGCATAAAATTCATTAATATTATTTAATTTTTTTAAGAGGCTTTGCAGTTCCTTATGTAACTGTAGACACTGAGACGTTAAAGATCTTTTGTTACTCACCCCTAAAATCATAGCAGCCCTTTTAGCCTAGTAGCCTCAAAGAAGTCTAAACTATTCCCGGCTTTTAGAGTTTTTATATCTTCTAGGCTGATTATGTGTCATCCCAGGTGTAAACTCAGTTTGTGAAACAGGTCCACATTCACACAGGAGATATATTGGTGTTCACCCTCCTGTTTACAGTATCTACAAATATTATATGTAATAGGTGTCTGTTCTTCAATAAGAGACTTAAAGTGATTCAATCCCTGTTGATTATGTCAGTATTTTTATGAGTCATGCTGAAGGTTGTCCTTTAAAATTTGCATCGCACAGCATTTCAGGACCCATTTATTGCCCCTGTACTCCAGTTCTTGCTAATTTGTCCACTATTATTCATTAAGTTTGTCAATGCAGTCCTTTATCAATTTTGAATTGTAAGGCATTGAGTGCTGCTTGGCTCTAAGAGAAGATGTAAATGGTTTGATGTACGTAGTTTCGTTGGCGATTGACTTCTGCATATTGTAAAATGGCGTATATCTCAGTCGAAATATGGTGGCGTTGGATTGCATCCGTGATTATTGCCAGTGGCGTGTTCCCAAGCACTGTTTGATGTAGAGATCTAAATGCTTGAGAGAGCTTGTGTTTTTGGCCAGAAATGCTTCCTCTATAAATAAATGCTTTCGCCACTTTCACTATGTATAAATGCAGGGGCGGTAGATTTAGCAGGGCATTAAGGGCAGTTGCCATGAGGCATGATGTTCTTTGTAAGCTATTAGCTTGTTAATTACGGAAGATGGAGTCCTTGAGGAATCTTAGTGATTTTCGCAAAATTACTATTATAGTTCTACCATTATAGTCTTTTCGCTTTTCTTATTTCTTTTGTTATGGTAGTGTATACCTTGACCTCTAAATGTTGAGAGAACCTTCTTTAGCCTGCATGACGGCAAAACAAGTTTATCTTTGTTTCTAGTATTAAAATTGTGTACATGACTGTTTAATGTAATTGTTGATATTTTTATTATATTCTAACATAAAGTAAACAATTGTATATCAATTGAGAGGCTATGTTAATATCCCAATTTCTTTGAATTTATCTCTAAGTGATGTTCTTGAACCTAATGTAAAAAAAAGCAGTAAGGGCTGCTCTATTTTGTAAAATAACATCAGATCAGAATGCCATATGAAATAACGTTATGGAAATAACTAAAGTTATTGTCCTAGCAGTATCTATATCTGTGAGTTGCCTAATTTTTCGTATTGCAAAGCTGAACTTAGTTTTCCTGCTAATAATGAAATGTGAGGATGCCATTGCAATTTAGAATCCAGCGTTACACCGAAAAAGATAGTTAACTCGAACCAAGAACCAACTCGAGCTTTTCATCACTAAGTTTAATTTCTGTTAGTTCAGATTTTACATAAGGTAACATGAACTTTATATATTTCGTTTTTTTAGCATTCAACTGGAAATTATTTACAGTAAACCATGTCATAATCAGTGAGAGAGTATTGTTTACATCGTCAAAGTCATTTTTACATCTATCAATATTAAATAAGAATCATCTGCAAACAATACTATATTGCATAAAGTTTCGACAAAGAATGGCAAATCATTTATTTATGTTAGAAACAGAAAGGGACTCAGAATAGATGCCTGGGGAACCCACATTTTTACTTGTGAACCCGATGATCTCGTACCGCATATATCGATGGTCTGAGTTCTGAAACTGAGGTACGACAATATTAGTTGTAGGGCAGAGTCTTTGATACCATAGTAATTTAGCTTCGTTACCAGTGTTCGATGCTCAACGCAATCAAATACCTTGGATAAGTCACAAACTACTCCAAGAGCATTCTGTGACTCCTCCCAAGCCCTGAATATATGTTTAACAAGTGCTACCAGCATCAGTGGTAGAGCGATTTTTTGTGAAGCCAACTTATTTAAATTAAAGTAGTCTTACTTAACTATATATACTGTTCAAGAATTATTTTTTCAAAGATTTTACTTAACGTCTATTGAATACTCTACGCGTATCTTCCCTCATATTGAGTTTAAATCAGTTGAACTTTATGTTTTTATGACTGCAATTTGTCTTTTACAACAAACATGGGTAAGATAACAGCTGTTTTACTAATGTTATCAGTATAAATGATATTGCAGTGATATCATAATCCTTACAATTCTCAGATTGTGTATATTCTTTGTTTATATTTTAATAACTATGCTGAATTAGTATGAGGAAAATATTTTAGTCATCTAGATGACTGAATATCGTAAATAATTAAAACTATTTAAAAATAATAATGTTCTTTTTCAGTTTTTAATCAGAATAAATCTTTTAGCATCACTGTCTGTAGACTGACTTATTACTGACCAGTCTGAGCTAAGATAAGGCGATTAATATCAAATAATATTTATTTATAATATGATATGACAAAAAAAAAGTTTATTTCATTGCCTGAATATGTTATTATTATCTCTTTCAGCACTCTCACTCTACTCCTTGATGTTTATGAGGTTCGCGTGGAGGGTTCAACCAAGAAATCTTCTGCTCTTCGCTTGCCACTTCACAAATGAATGTGCTCAATTGACACAAGGTGCTCGCTTTATCAACTACCATTATATACAGGGAGCTGATCAAAAGGAGAAAACTGCTCAGAAATAGGGAAATCTAAATAATCGGGGTACATAGGGCATTGGCTCTAATTTACAATCATTGTTGTGATATTTATAAGTGAAGGAATGATGATTGTGGCCTACTTTGAAATAGTTAATAGGTAAAAATATTGTTAGTGACGATTGACAAGGTTTATACACAAATTATTTAAACTAATAATATAGAGAAATGGAAAAAGGTGGGTACAAACAAGCCTACTGTGATAGGATAGTGCAATTGACTGCCGTTAATATTCAGTGTTGCTAGTTAATTTTATTAACTTAGTAATAATAATATGTTTGAGTATTTATTTAATTAGATGATTGCTATTGAAGTCAAGACTGTTAAATTTGTGTATCCAATACATTGTTATATTATGTTACAAATGTATATAGCTCTAATAAAACACTATTACGTATTGTGACATGGCCACTTTACACTGTTACACATTCTCATAATTATCTTCCGTAATTTGTATTCCATAAGCCCATATGTAGGTAGGTATAATATAGTTTTACAGGGATATACGGTGCTTATGGTATGTATACAAGCTTATTTAATATATTATAATAGTTAATATTGTAATGTAAAACTGTAATATCTATATAACTATAGTATAAATTATATAAAAAGAGTATATTTTTGGAATATTTAATGTAATTATACGCTATTGTTGATCTGTTATATTGTTTTTTATTTACGTTAATATGGTTTAGGTTCTCAACAGAGAACATGGAAAATTAGATCCTTTCAAATCATCTTTTGAATATTGATAGTAGTAGGGAAGCTGGTTTGTTTGCAAATTGATGTAAAACTCAATTTTCAAGTCTTCACCACTTCTAAATTAAAAGAATTTGGTAGGTATTAAAATACGATAAAAAATTACTTCTGTTCTCTTTGCCGTTTGTGGAATTGAATACGCAATTTGCCAGAATGAAAACTAAAGGAGATTGCCTATCAAAGTATAGAAATATGTTTCACAAGGCGCTTGTCTTATGTAACAAAATATAAATGAAACAACTTTTAAACGTTTTAATAGCGTTTGTATTTGGTTTTAGACGTTTCCGAACTTTTACAGGTTCCGTGTCCATATAATACAATCGACACCTTGGTCTTAATCTGTAAAAGTTGTTTCATTTATGGATAGTGCGAAAATATAAGAAATCAATATGTAACAAAATATGTTAAGGGCCGGTTTCACCGGTTGCTGATAAAGTCCCTGATAGTCTATCAGGAACTTATCTGCCAGATAAACTACAACTTTTGGTTTCACAGGTCTCGGATAAAAATATCTGGCAGATAAAGTATTAGATATGTTATCAGCCGATTCAAGTGGCTGATAAAGACGTTATCTGATAGATAAAAAAAAAGTTTCAATTGACGGGAACGAAAATAGTTTTAGTTTTAGACCATTATTGTGTGCTTTGCGTCGATTGCAGTCACAAGTGTCACAAATATTCTAAAATGGATTTATTTGAGTTTTTAGAAGACGAATTAGATGAATATTTCGAACGTATTACGCGACCCCGTAGGAATCGAGTAATTAACCCTAGATCTAATTATTGAGAATCACTTGACGATCAAGATTTTAGAAATCGATTTCGGCTTACCAAGCGGGCTGTTATTTATATTCTATCGTTAATAGAAAGTGATATAAAAACTACAACGGGCTATTTAGTAAAAAATCTCCGTTAACTAGTAAGTAAAGAAACTCCGTTTGTTTCTTCTTGATTAAAATTCACACTTTTTTCACGTTTTTGTTTTTCCATTATAAATTAACAAATACGAAAATAATACACAAAGAAAAGTTTAAAAACTGAAAAGCGTCTTAAGCACAAAATATCAACAAAGCAAAACAAATGATAGTTGCGTTTCGTTTCTGTAAACACGTAGCTAAGTATACGAATATCGTATTATTTCATTCTAGAATCATAAAATTATAATTCAAAATATGTAAAGTATAAGTATAAAAAGTTTACTTAAATAATATTGAACACAAAAAATAATATTAATTAAGTTTTAAAAATGATTTTTGATTGACGATAATTTGGGTCGTAGTATTGAAACGCAAAAAAGCGACGTTGCCGTTCCGTCAACTAATAAGTGGCCGATAACTTATCTGCCAGATAAATTATCTAGCAGTTTGATGGTGAAACAGAAAAAAGTTAACAGCAACCTTTATCCAGTAGATAGCGTTAACTATCAGATAACTATCTGAAACTTTATCAGTAACCGGTGAAACTGGCCCTAAATGTTAATTTATAAATATTTTTCTAAACTTTAAATTTACATCACATACATTTCTCAGATTCCAAGATGAGTCTTACCTAAAGCCCCATTATGGAGTATCTGAGACAACGGAGGTATGTACCACAACACCCAGACCCGAGATGATATAGAAAAGTTCATTTTTTACATTGACACAACCGGCAATCGAATCCGGGTCTAAGAGATGCAAGATTATAGCAAAGCAAAACTTTTAGGCGCGAATTTAATTCAATATTTAAAATATCGTTATTCTTTAGATCGAATTTGACGGATCGGTAACTGAGCTCCGCGATCGCTACCAATGTCGAGACTAAATTCACAGGGCCTTATTAGGCGACTGTTGCCCAGTTGCACAAACGTCAATTAAGGTTTGTGCAACTGGGAAATTGATGACGACTGTAAGCTATATTGTATGTTCTAAATTTGAAATTTTGTATCGGTAACTTCTATCAACACTAATTTAAACTAATTTGAATGAATGAGCACCATATATTTTCTCGTAAAGCTGTTAGTTATAAAACACTATGCGTTTCATAACAGTTGTGTATCCGTTTCGTCAAATGAGGCTAAGTGGAAATGCTCTATGGACAATGGAATCACAACACGCGTACTGCTGTGTACAGGTCTAGTCTATTGTGTTTAAACGCTTTGCTGCGGGATACTGTGAAGCGGTGTAGATGTAAACGAATCGGAGATGAGAGTTAGTTTTATGTTCAATGTAATTTTCCTTTTATGTGGAGTAATGGTGCAATGGGTAAATAACGGTTGTTAAGTTACTTTCGCAAGGCTTGTTTATAGGATGGGTGACCAAAATATTTTTATCTCGCGCTTTCGAAGGCACGTTAAGCCATCGGTCCCGGCTGCATCTGAAGTTGTAAACACTCACAATCCGCACTGGGTCCACGTGGTGCGTCATTGTCCACCTTCACTATTCGTTTTGATTCGATCCCATGCATAGGGAAAGCCTGTGATCCTACAGCGGGGGTATTAATAGGCTGATGAAAACAATTAATTTGACCAAGTTTCAAGTTATCTCCTTCTCTGAACTCCCAAGTTCGGTTTCCGCCCATATCAATATATAAAATGAAAATTTCTTTATAATCTAGGGTGAGAGTAAGCGATATTTCTGTTGTTACACATTTTGTTAACACATGAGCATTAGCTGATTATAATTTAAAAAAGAAGAGGAAAGCAAAATCTGGGCTGAAACTATGGTTGGGTGTGGAGCACTCCCCAAAAGAGGGTGCACGGAAACCTCCCCCCGTTGGGTCCATACGGATGGAGAGTCCCACACACCTGCCACCGGAACGGTGCGGACAGTGCATAAAGCATTCACCTACAATAAAAAATGAACCTAGGTGCCAGTCTAATATATGAAATGAGAATTAGGAGTTAAAGTTAATTAAAAGACGATCAATTAGTCTTATTAACTCTATAAAGCAGCTAAGTATATAGGTACGTAATCCTGTAAGGAGAATTCATAACTGTAAACATGGATACTAATATGATAGGTGCTTTAATATTTGATTGAAGAAGTTCTATCATAAAACAGATAAAGCCTTATTTTAATCTTGTAACATTAAAGAAAAAGCATACGTAATTTCGATGGCGCAAGTCATCTCCGAGTAGTCCATCATGGCATGTCAGACAATGATGATGTCAGTGGCTTTATGAATTATGAGACGCTCCAACCAAACGAACAAAAGAATACTCGCGATTTCGCAAAATGTCACGGTTATAGGGAATAAGGTAGTTTTAAAAAACTCGAATGAATTATATCTTTGTGTAATTTTTATTATAATGAAAATTGATATCGTAGTCTATTGAAGTCATTTATAATTAAAACTGGAAATGAAAAATTTCCTCTAAAAATTTTTTCCCTACCACTACCTAGTTTTTCTTCTTTTACTTGACAAGAAAAACAAGCAAAAGAAACTTATCAATTTTATCTTTTTTCAGTAGTAACGAAATTTATGTCAATCATGTACGTAAATTTAAATTTATGTAAATCATGTAAATTTATGTCAATAAAACGAGAGAAAAAGCAGCCCTTGCAGAGTTTCTATCCTGCTCTTTTTTATTTACGGCGGAAATCCTTGTAGGTGTCTCGATGTGGATTTGCCAATAGATAGAATAGCTTTCAATTTTGACAAGTGTTAGTGGCCTCGATTAAATAAATGCCATAATTTAATTTAATAAATAATAATAACAAAAAATAATTCACACATTGTCACAAAGTGTAATATAGAATTGGTAGCGTTGTCATTAAAAACTATTTTTAACCGACTTCCAAATCGAAAAGGAGGAGGTGATATGTTCGACGGCGATGTCTGTTTTTTTTTAAATTTAAATTTAAACCTCAGCCCTGTTAGTTAAATAACGATTGCTCTTTGTTTATCAGTAGGTGTGGATGTTTGCGGAAAATTTTACCCCTCAAAAGTCTACAGAAAGTCCTATAATTGTTTTCGAATTGTTTTTCGGTACAGTCGTATGATCAAAACTGGTGGGCAAGCGTCGAGTATTTTTTTTGTGTTCCAAAATGAAATGCAAATTTTATTGCGCGGAGTATTATTTGAATTCCCACTGGACATGTCGCTATGCAGCGGCCGCCTGCGAACACAGAGATAGGTAGTTTTAATTAAAATTGTTCCTCTAATGAGCGTGTATTTATGGACGAACATACGACTAAATGCCAAGCCGACATTAACTCCGCAGTTGTGGATTATTTTAATCACTGCACG